TCGGCGAAGCCGGCGAGGTTGACGAAGGCCTCCCCCGTGAGGTGTTCTTCCCCGTCTTTCGAGCCAGCGAGGGTGTTTTCTTCGCGGTCCTTGTTCCCGGCTCGGCGTTGCTTCTTCAGGCCCTCTGGATTGCGGAGGACGTGGGCGTAAGCGGCCGCGACGTGGCTGCCCTTCCCGGTCATGAGGTGGAGGTAGAGGTAGACCGCGCTCCCCGCCAACAGCTGCCTGAAAGTCCACCTTCCTCTCGAATGCGCTCCCGGGGCCATCGCAAGCATTGCGGGGACTCTGCTACCGTTGAAGTTGCTCTGCTACTCTACTGCTGTGTACGTTCTTGCTTGAAGCGCTGCACGGTCGAACATGCGGCTGTCTTGGTACCTCGGACTTGCATTGACGGCCGTCAGGTTGTCTTATACAAAAACCACTAAACGCAAGGTCTCAGGTGAAAACAAACGCAGTGCTTCCCCATCCTCACTTTACTGGCGTTCCCCATGGTAGATCTGCGGGACTTCCAGCTGGTAAACAGCATCGATTTCCTCGGTTGCGCTCGGAAAGCGGTTTCCCACGTGATTGTCAGGAGGATCCTCCTTCATTCAGCACGCAGTGTATGTTTCTCCTTTGCACTTCCAAAGGAATTGTTCTTAGGCATCCTTGATGGCTGGTTGTTGTGCTTCCCGGCATCCCCCGCAGGCATTGGGCGAGAGGTTTTGGAGCTTTTGTTGCTTCCCTGACGCCCAGGGCGGGTCGAACTTGGCGATGAAATTCCCCAGGAGTCCGCTCCATCGCTCTCTGTCATCAGCCACTGCTCTCCAGTTCGTGCCGGCAATGCTTTCCACCGCTCTTTCGATGTCCATCTGGGGGTTGAAGCGCCCTGCATGTCTGGCGCCTCCTTTGCGCCTTTGTTGGCTTCTCCACCATTCCAACCCCCTCCATTCTAGGATGTCTCCTCCCACTCCTCCTCCTCTGGAGAGATGGCCTATCATTCCCCAGATAAGCTGGAGAGCGTGAGTGCTCCATCTTGGGATTCCGTTCTGGTGGAGCTGTATTCTTGCTGCGCGCAATGACCTGCTGTTCCTCTACCCAGGCTTCCCCGGGGGCCCGGTGGATATTGAGCATCAGTCTCACCTGATGCAACTGCGTGGAATTGCACGCCATGAGCACAGTGCGATGGGCGGGCCAAGCTTGGCACCCCCACAGCGCTGCGCCCCGCACGTAACTGTTGTGCAGCTGCAGTTTGACTTTGACGGGCCCCTTCGCGACCAGTATTTTCCGGCGGCTGTAGAAGGCCCGTCTGGCTCGATTAGCCATTTCCGCTGCTAGCGCTGCGGGTCCTATTTCAAAGCCCACGGGTGCTCCCAGAACTCTCATATAGGCTTCTGGGCCTTTTGCTTGGATGTCTCCACCCCCGATGTGGAACTTCTTGTCCGTGGGTTTCGAGCAGAGGATCACCGTTTTGGTGTTGATTTCCAGACCATCTTTTTTGAGAGTCTCTTCTGTGGCCCGGAGGTAGCGCTGTAGCTGGTCGGGACTCTGTGCCCACAGGTACGTATCGTCCATGAAGGATGCCCCCGGATGCGGGATAGGTTGGCATTCTTCCGGCTGTTCATCATCGGCAGCCTGCTCGAAGGCTTCGTTCAGGGCTTCTCCCACCAGGGCCGAGAAAAGTTTGGGGCTGTCCGGCGAGCCTTGTCGCACTCCATTGGTTTGCTTTATAGTGTGCTTCCCCCCGTCCGTGTGGACATGGAGCTCCCGTGCTTGTAGCAGCGCCAGCCAGGCTCTTGCTTCCCACGGTTGGTTGCATTGGTTCTCCACTCTTCTTTCAACCAATCTGGCGAGCGATTCTTGCCAGACTGAATCGAAGGCCTTTTTGACATCAATCTTGGCTATCCACATTTCCAAGCCCCAATCTTTGGTCATCTGTACGATTCTTCTTATTAGGAAGAGTAGTTCCGTTGCCTGGCGTCCTTTTCTCGCCCACTGGTATGGGATGTCGGTGTCCAATCCATCTCCGACCCTCTGGAGGAGCAGCTGTGACAACCACTTCAACATAGACGAGCTGAGGGTGATTGGTCTCGTTTCTCCCCATGCGAGTGGCAACGGGACTTTTGGCAAGAGGATGGTGGCTCCTTCTCCTGTATTAGGCGGGACGTAGGCCTTGTACAGGTAGTCATTGAGAGACCAAATTATGGCGGCTTCCCACTGGGGGCTGCTCATCATGCTAAGCAGTGCTTCGTGGCTGATGCCGTCTGGTCCTGTACTTTTCCCTTTGCACCACGCTGCCGAGGCTGCTATTAATTCTTCCTTTCGGAAGGCCACCCACCGTGTCTCCTTGCACTTGCGTGCCAGACGTCCTCTAATCTCCTCTATTTCGCGGTCTACCCGGGCCTGGTCTCCTTTGCAGAAAATTCCCTCGAAGTGCGCTTGCAGTTTGTCTCGCCAGTTTGGGTCATCAAGGAGGCCGTGCTCCCATTTCTTGGCTTGAGGTTGGTGTTGCAGTGATTTTGCCGCTAACCAATTGCCTTTGGCTGCCTCACAGCACATTTCCTCCTGCCATTGTCTGTGTTCCTTTTTCCTTTGCTTGGCAATTTGTTTCCACGCATGGCGCCGGTCCTGCCCTGGCGGCATGTCCATAGCTCGTCGCCTCTTGTGCTTGAGGTCTTGGCTTTCCCTGAAATGTATGCAGGCTCGGCCCGGCACCGTGATCTCTTCTGCCTTCTCTGCAATTGCTCTTTCCAAGTCCCCCGCCGGAGTGGAGCGGAGAGCTTCTTCCACCTTGTCCGCCTGCTTGAGCTTTCTGGGCCCGAAGGTTTCTCGGGCTTGGCTCTTCATCCCCCTCCACGGTATTTGGGCCACTACCGGTTCATGGTCTGATGCTGCGATGTCTCTTGCGGGCACTACTCTCCCTCGCCCCGCCCCTTGCATGCCCCTGGCGGCTAGATAGTCCACTCCCAAGTTTGCCAGCCATTGCAGCAAACACTCTCCCCTGCCTGTTCTGGCGGTTTCCCCTCTGGCCGACTGGTCAAAGGTTTCATTTGCGTCCATCCCCAGCACTAGCTTTGTCGTCCCGAGATCAATGTCGGCCAGCAATACCTCTGTTTCAGCTATTGTTGCGTGATGTGGAACATGAATAGAAGCCAGGCCCACCTTGAGTTTCCCATCTTGGGTACTCAGTGTCGTGCTCAGGCACCCTTTGCGAACTTTCGTGGCACTATGCACGCCCATATTTTGGCGATATGCAATCCCACGTCCTCTCCATTCCCCTGCTGTTTTGCCGCTGATAATGTGCCATCCATCTTCTTCCCTGTGTTGGATTTCGTCTTCCCCCACGGTGATTTCCTGGAGGAAAACAATGCAAAGGTTGTACATCTCGTTGAGGTCTGTACCAGTACTGTGTGCAACAGCTTTGAGTACCCCCGCCACCTTAGGTGGCGACAGTCCTCCCACATTCCATGTCATCAGCAAGGCCTGCTCGGGCTTGCTTGACGGTTCCCCCTTGCCTTGGGCAGGGTGGTGGTGGTGGTGAAACTGCTCTCCCTCCTCCTCTGTCTCTCATCGGAGCGTAGCGCTGAGTTCTTCCCAGCGTTCCCTCATATTGTTCTCCGGAATGGCCAGTTGGTGGCACAGGGTGCGCAGCATCACCCAGCCCGACTTGTGTTCGTCTGCCCCCGTCGGCTTGAGCGACATGGCTGATGCCACCCTCTTGTCCGAGTACCAAACAGTTCCCGACTGCCATTCCACTTCGAGGTCCTTCTTATGGCCGCCTTTCTCCAGGATAAGTCGCTTCACCTTCCCTGCAAATGCCACTCGTCGCCTGCGCTCCGGCGTCTGCGAGATGCTGAGCCATAGGTACTGTGGGTCTCCGTTGTCCCTTGTCCCCAACTTGACCGTTGCGTCCTTGACTTTGAGGATGCTGTCCCGGATTCTTCCCCGGAGCTGTTCTGGGGTTTCCCCGCCCCGAGGGCCGTACGGGATGATGACATATCCTCTGCGGACTCCCGGCACGAAGGCTTCATCCATGTCCAAGTTGAGCCTGAGCTGCCTGACCATGTCCTTCGCCTTATCCAGTGTTTCCCCCGCTTGTTGGTCTTCTGCCCAGCCTCCCAGGATTATCGCGGGCTTTTTGTCCTGTTCTGTACTCGCCGTGGACCCCGCGGGGGAAAAGGTGGCCATTTTCCCCTCTAGGAGTTCCATCCTCATCACCAGGTTCTCGTGGTCCTCACGGAGCCCCGCAATATGCCCGCTTTGCACATCCTGTTTGTCGTGCAGCTGCGTGAGGAGTTGCATGGTACCCCCCACTTGCTTCGTGACTTCGAGCTCCACACTTTCGATACGTTGTTTGACCTGCTCCACCGCTGTCTTGACTTCAGACACCACCCGGAGCTCTCCTTTAATGGTTTCCTTGATCAGCGCCACTGTGTCCAAGGCCGACAAGCTCATCTCATCTTCCGCTTTCCTCTTTCCCCCTGCTGGGGAGGTATTTTCTCCCACCAAGGAAGAGTGCATTCTTGATGTCCCTGCCACTATCACGGACTCGACGTGCTAGTTGTCCCTGGCGAGACTCAGGTAGTGGCACAGCGTGCCCGGCAAGTAACCCTCCTGTAGTGCCGCCGATATCGGTGACAAAGTTGGTGTCAGGCTCCCCCTCTCGCCTCTGGTAGCCGTGGGTCAAGGCCAGCGCGGTTCCCCTCCTGGTCCGTCCTCGACTGTCTCGCCCGGCAGGACTCTCACGAAGAAGACGCGAAGGGTGTCCAAACTTGCCCTGGACGGTGTATGGCTGCGCGGTCGCAGGGGCGGGGGCAGTTGTCCCCTCTCTCACGGCGGCCCCTTTCTCTCTCTTCCCCTTCTCCCCTCCCTCTTTTATCTCAGGTTGAGAGGCTCGGCCACGGGCTGCCCCTTGAGCACTCGCGGCTTGAGCCAAAATGGCTACAGTCTCTCTCTCTCTCTCTCTCTCTCTCTCTCTCTCTCTCTCTCTCTCTCTCTGCACAATGCAATCGACAGCCCGCCTCCATCGCGGCCACCTCAGCAATTAACACAAACGGCTTGCGACACCTCGCTAATGGCCAAAGCTTTGGTGATCGAAACAACCGAACCTGAAACATAGGGGTTGAAATGATAAAACTCGTCCTTGTTGAAGCCCCAGGAACGCACCGTACCTCAACATCGAAGATACCGGCATCCTGCGAAATCTATCCGAGGCGATGGCCAGAGCATCCATGACGGCATGCCGCTCAGCGCGCCTGAACTACGCCCAGCGCTGGAGGCATTGGATCATGGTTTTGGGTTGGTTTGTACCCGTAGCCGTGAGGAAAGCAGGACTGACACTTAGCCACAAGGCGACCCTTTCCAACTAGAGATGACGTGGGCAGGCGCGCCGTTTGGCGAGCGCCGTCTCCGCCACGACAAAGCCGTCTTCGAGGCCGACGTCAATCTGTCGGGGGAGGCAGGAGTTTTTGGGGAAGGAGAGGCACAACCCTGGGGCCCCATAGACCGACATCCTCCATTCTGCCCACAGAAAGGTCTTAAGGCCGCAGCAGCTTCCAGGATCGCTTCCTGGATCTCTGCCTGGGGGTCTTCACCGACGCCGCAGAAGGAGGCTCCCACACTTTAGGCATGTTGAACCCTTGGGGTCGTCGACTTGCAGTCGTAACGACTTGGGATGTTCCCCCCTATATGAACAGTCCTTCATAGGGATAGGGGGTACCATAATCCCTATTCAGGACTGTTAGAACAAGGGAAAACATCTCAAGTAAAGACTGCAAGAGGCTTCGAAGGGCCTCGGTGCCGTCCCTGGCAACAACCTCCATCTTCGCGGCAGCCTGAAACGACACTCACATGCTTGGGGGGGAAAACCTTTCTTCTTGCGCTGTAGAGCTCCACTTAAATGGGTCTTGAGGCTTGGTGGTCCCAGTGCGTCGGGAAGCCCGAGCTCGCTCCCGCAAGCGCACAAGCCGCACGCCTCAAGCCCGATTTCCGTGGCTCGCACTCTGAAACCCTCTGAACGTTGAGACCGAAACCCCTAACCCCGATACGGCACAAGGCCCATGCATCCCTAAACCCTATAAACCCTAAACCCTAATCCCTAAACCCTATAAACCCTAAACCCTAAACCCCAAATGCTAATGTTTCAATCACCGAACCTTTCGCCGGCCTTCTGCCGCTCCTGCAGCGTGCCGATGGACCCTGGCGCTTGAAGCCTTGGCCGCCGTGATATTAATTATTATTATAAAAATAATAGTGGTAATAAGTAAAAATAGTTATTTTTATTATCAATATATCACTTGCTATTCAGCAGATACACTGATGAAGATACATACCCATGTATGTATATACTGAGAGACTTGTGTTGTGTCTTTCTCTCTATTTCTGTCTCTGACTATTGTTGTACTATCACTACTTCTATGGGAATTGAGAACTGAGGGCCTTAGTCGCGGTGGTTATTGTTAGTCAAAGTTTTCTGTTTGGAGCCAGAAAGAATAAAACTCAGCACTTTGAGACTTGAAAAGTCACCTGCATACGGACAAGGAACACCCTTCTTCGCACAATCCCGTCTGCAATGCATCCCCTTTTTGGGAACCCAGACTCCTCAAGTCAGCTGGTAAAGGCCTCCGATCGACAATGCTTCCCTCAACCCCAAGCTTAGCCCTTTTTGCAAGGGGCTTTTGAGTCACCTAAACTTAACCCTAACACCTAAACCCTACGCTGCGAGGGGGCTCTCAATAGACCCTGAAAGTCCGCAGCTTGGATCCGGGCTCTTGCAGCGCTACTTGAACTGCCGCCAATCCCTGGCCAGAGTCCAAGATCAAGCCCATTTTTCTGCGAAGCAAAGGGACTCTTGCACCCCAAACCGATTCGAAGGGATTTAAAAGCCTCGATGGAGGGTTATACAAACCAGGAACCACATCGCCCCCACATCTCACAACCTGATAAGCCATCCCACAAGGAAATGGAAGGACTCCGGCAAGAGCTGTGGCGGCCTCTGCATCCACGCCGGCAACCTTGCAGCCATAGATGCGAGAAGCCCAACCCCTCCCCCCCCCCCCAAACCCTGAACTCCTATGAGCCCCCCATCATGCCAGACAGGATCCTGCATCCGAAAGCTGTGTCGCTGATGCCTGATATATCAGGCGTGCTTATCGGGCTCAGGTTTCAGTGTTTCGTGGGGTGCCAGCCGTGAAGATGTTAGGGCTCAGGCGTTCGGATCTACAAGTGTAAGGTCTGACCTGGGTGTTGCAAGTAGAGCTTGCAGGCAACCATGGCAAAGCAGCGATTTTTCAGGCTTGCAGCTGGATCCCAGCAGAAACCACTACGTTCGCGATGCTCGGCGTCATTTTCCCATAGTGCCTTTCTATGACCTGTCTCTTCGAGCCGAAAGCCTCAAGCCCGAATCACAACGAAGTCAAGCTGAGTTGGGGGATTGATTCAGATCATCTAAGTCATGCGCTCTTTCACTGGCTCTGCTCTAGTCCTCCGCGCAGTCACTCGTAGTTTCAGGGTACTCGTACCAAAGGGCCCACAATTTTGGCTCGTGCAACCTCCTGGAGTGCTCTGTGTGCAAGTGCCCACCCCCTCGCCCCTCTACCCACAGCGCGCTCCCGAGGCTCCGGCGGAAGCTTCCTGGACTGCCTGGTCGGGGTTAGGGCTTTGCCGGGTTCTTTTGGCTGTGGGTTTAGGGTTCAGGGCTCAGTCAGGGTTCAGACTGAGGGGTCGAAGGCTTGGGGGCTTTCCGAAGGCTCCTTCCCCCCCTGAGGTATTTGGCCTTGCGGAGGGCGTCCGCATCCAGGTCCATGAGAGCTGCAAGGAGTCGCCGGTGAGCGACGCCTCGTAAGGCTGGGGAGCTCCCTCTCTGTCCGAGACGCTGCTACACTCTCCCTTTATGTCCTGGTACTTCATATTGCAAATACAAACTTTTTTAGGCTCCGCAGAACAGGGGCTTTAATTGGAACTTGTGGTCATGTTACAGCATGCCCCTTTGTCATGGAAGGGGCCCCCTCCATCCGAGATCCCGAGCCCTACATGACGACTTCCCGAACTTGAACCCGCGCGTTCCATTCTGAGGTTTTCCACATCGGGCCTAGAGAATCCGACTATTGAGGCTTGAGTTCCTGGAAAGGGCGTGCCCAAGAATAACAAAAAAAAAGCCCATGTCATTTCAGAATGCGCCGAGGGTGAGGCTCCGTGGAGACTCCTGGCACAAGTTTGGCATGGACGGTTTAGGGTTTCTAGGGTTCCTGGCCTTGCTAGTGGGATCTTCATATGGTCAGAGGGTTTAGGGTTTAGGGTTTAGGGTTGTAAAGCTCTCCAGAAGACCCTTTTGCATCCAGGTCTCACGCCGGGCATCACATGGGAGGCCTAAACCCCCAAACCCAAAACCCTAACCCCCAAAAACCCTCCGAAAGGGAAGGGAATTGAAGGAGAGATTTAAGGCGAAGGACCTCCCCCCATGCCTCCCAATTTGGGTTTAGGACGGTTTAGGGTTTAGGGTTTAGGGTTTTTTTTGCCACCCGCCTAGGGTTTAGGGTTTAGGGTTTAGGGTTTTTTTTCCGTGTCGCAAGGGTTTAGGGTTTAGGGTTTAGGGTTTAGGGTTACTCCAATCTTCTCGTTGCCCTTCGAGCGACCAAGAAGGTCCTTGACAGCCTCTGCTGCTTTGGCCTTCGGCTGGACCTGGCGTCCCCTTCATGTCCCGAAGCCCTCACATGTGGGGGTTTCCGAATTAGGGCGGGGGGGGCGGGGGCTCCTTACCATAAGGGAATCTCTACTTACGCTAGTTCGTAAGCCCACGTGTCGGCAGTGTTTTTGGCAAACCGAGCGTGAAACCGAGGAGGGCCTGCATCACTGTTCACAACTCTAAAGCTCTAAAGGTTAAGACCCACATCTAGGAGTCACATCAACACTTCTCAGATTACGCTTTATATAGGCTAGGGGATTGGTCTATCTAAGTCTAGCATGCGGTTTCCGCAAATTTCCTGCACCCTTCCAGCATGGGCCTTCCTCTTGGAGGGCCAAAAAAAGGCCGATGCACTTGCACAGGCTGGTGCTGACAATTTAGAGTAAGGGGCTGTCAAAGCCGATATGCTCACCACCCACTCCCTGCCTACTCAACGGCGTGGGGCCTGCGACGACCCTAGAACATCTTGTCACTTGCCCCGAAGCTTGTCTGCGACCTCCGGAAAACTTGGCAGGAGGCTCCCCCCTCCCGCCCCACGATACTGGCCCCTTTGTCGCTATGGAGGCAACATGACGACTCGGTGCTGAAGCCTGCCAGGACCCCTTCCCAAAAACTACGCACCACCGACCCTAGGCCCTACACGGCCCTGCGCCCGGAATCGAAACCAAAAACCACACCTTGGCGCGGGCTGCCGTTGACGGACCGGCCTCCCCAAGCACACATTAAGGGGTCAGGAAGTAGGTCCCTTTTGCAACTGGGGGACTTGGCTGACTGCTAGAGAAAGGAACCCTCACTTCGCACGGTCCCTACTTAAACTGATAAATATAGTTGAAATAGTAGATTTAAATGATACATACACCATTGATAAGATTGAAAAGTCTTGCCTTGAACCCGGAAGTCTCCAAGCTTGCACTCAGAATCGCCAGCGGCAGAACCCTTCGCAGCCCCGCCTTGAGCTTCGCGACTGCAGAGGCAGCCTCGAGCAGACAGAGCTCTCAGTGGAGTGCAGGGCGAAGGAAGCGAAGGAACGAATTACGGGATTTTGACGTTGGGATTCAATCAAGGTTCAGGCTATTGAAAGGAAGAAGCGCGTGAGCATCTTCGGTGCTCCGGAAGCTCACAAGCCTACGCCCTGAATACGTGCCTCGGGCTCCTAAGCCCAGAGAGTTCGCGGAGCGGACGAGCGCACCCTAAATCCCAACAACGATAGAACCAAAGGCCGTCTTGAATCTAGGGCACTGGACGAGAAGAAAACCCACCAGATCGTCAAGCATGAGCGCCCACCCATCGAGCAAAAAAAGGTGGACACAATTGGGTCCTAGTGTTGCGAAAGAGCAAACCGGACTGATCCGGTGTGATGATGTGTGTCATGCCTCCGGAGTATAAATACTCAATCGTGTGCGAGTGGGGGTTGTGCAGGGGTGCGTGTCTGCGCACATGAGCATGTCTAAATTTAACTGCGCATGTGTACTCGTATGCATGTACGCTGCTCAGGGTAGGCGTTGCTTTGGTCGGATGAGACTGGTCGATGCGATTGTATGTGTGCAGAGGAGAAGCACCCGTGCTGCCTCCTCTGCTGCAGCTCTTCTCCGTGCACGTGTGCGTGCATGAGGATGTGTGTATGCAAGTGCATGAAGGGGGACGAACGCCAGCGCATGATGGTGCGTTTGCTGCGTAAGACATGAGATCATAAAGTTCGTCGACACCACTCCAAAAGCCATCAACTCCGGATTGGTACCCAAACTGAAGAGTGCCGGATATGTTGTTTTGCCTGCATCTTGGGCTTCGCAGCCGAGGAGGCGGCCTGAAGTAGCCATTGCTGCAGTTTGAGAATGGGGGGCTGCTGCAGGGCTGTCACAAGGGCTAATTAGGCCAAGGTGCGACCAGCAGCAGTCAGAGTCCGATCTAGAGGCTGACGTGTCACATGCCCGAAATGATCCGTGAGCTGAATCCCACAACCCGGTTCCTCACCCGATTCACGATTGGCCCTCCGTCTATCAGAAGCCAACCTTCTGTGGGGCAACAGCAGCCTCCACGATGCCCCATGTCATTGCGATTTTTGCAGTACGAGGACCACATGAGGCAAGAGAGGTCGTGCCCATCGAGGCCAGCACCACATTGGCATGAAGCAGCTCCTGAATGCGCATGCACTGACATTCAGTCGCATTTCCTGACCTTACTCATTGCATTCATTACATCTATACTCTCATGTGCTCAACGACCACACCTTGAAAGCAATTGACGAGAACTGTTCCAAAAACATAGATCATGGGCCTATGAGTCAGACGTAACTCACAGAAGTGAATCACAGAAGTGAAATGCCTCCTCCGCCATCTGCACGCCGCGCACTCTAGGCCCAGCATGGGCACGGAGGTTCCGGTCGGGTCGAAGGATCCGGGTTGAGCTCAGGGGGGTTTAGGGTTTAGGGTTTAGGGTTTAGGGTTTAGGGTTAAGGGTTTAGGGTTTAGGGTTTAGGGTTTAGGGTGGATGGGCTGCCAGGAGATCATGATCCGAGGGCTGACATGCACAGGGGTGCCCGGGTTCACTCGAGGTGCTTCGCCTGGGTTGTCAGAAAAGCTCCATCGGAGAATGATGCCTGCGGGGTTCTATTGAGGGCTTAGGAGCTCTGTAAACTCCCCTTGTGGATGCCATCTGGTCCTGGGCAGAAGCCGACATGCGTAAGAGGACACTAACAGGAGAGACTCAACCAAACAGAACACGAGCCCTAAGCCACGCCATGAAGTTCTCAACCGCCCCGCCAGTACAGGCAAGGACATGCAAAGGACCTAAGGCGTAAGGAAGCCAACCATAGCTCCTCAAAAAACCAACTCTGCATGCATTGACATTTTTTGCGATGCTCTCGGAAGTCCCATAGAATATTTTATAGACATAGACATGGCTTTGCAGCCAGGGAGAGGTGCAATGTCTGTTGGTTGTCTCAGACGGTGGAGTTTGTCTATGTCGACAGACAGGTGTTTTGACATGTTTTGACTAGGTCCAACCCAGAGACCGTGCACCCGAAGATCGCGTTGTCGGGACTTCTGGGAAGCACCTAACTCGGTGCCGTGGCTGTGCGCACTTGCGGCGCACTTGCCGTCAAGCACAGCCACAAAGAGGTTTCCAACAGAATGGCATGCCTTTCTGAAAGATATTCTATGTATGTCCTCCTACATCCTGTAGGCCCCACAGGTGTATCAGCAGCAGCGTTGAAGAGCCTTTAGTCAGGCCATGTCCGCCAAAACTCTGACGTAGACTGAAGACCGCAAAGGTTAAATACATGCTCCCCCAGAACACCAAGCGTCACCCCCCCTCGTTCAGAAACCTCCTGTGGCACCCACGTCCCGCAGTTGCTGCAAGCTCGCTGCTTACAGACTGCATGAATCATGGTCTCTGTGGCCACGTAAGACGTAAGACATAAACCTGGAACCTAAAGTTAACCCTCGCCTCGCATCTGCGAAGGCGGCAAGAGTGCGCCACTCCCGCCAGGGATTTTTGTTTCAGGAGATGTCTCAAGAACGATGGTGGGGGGGGCGTTAGGGTGCCAGCATGCTTCGCAGCCCCTGTATTGTAGAGGAGATGGACCCTTTAGGCGCTTGCTTTGGGGGCTTTTGGGAATTCATCGTAGTCCCGGGAGTCCTTGGGGACCCTTGAGGGCTGAGGTTTTGTGGACCCAAGGGGAGGCGCACGCGAAAATCTCCACGACATGGAGTTCGTGTCAGTGACCGCTGGCTCTGCACCCCAGATTCCGCTCGCCACTATCGAACAACCCGAACTCTTTTCTCCTGGACTTCCTTACGACAACAAAGTGCGTTTTATGAGGCGAGTGCCGGCTGCACACTTCCCATAGCCTATTCCGGGAGCCTTTGGCAACCACTAACCGACTAACCCGTGCGCAATCCTGAAGGCCTGTGGGCTGAGATGTGATCATTATGATGACTGGAGGTGATGTGACTATGGGACCCCCAACCATACAGGTCCGCGTTTCAACAGAGCTTACATCGTTCAGGTTTCTCTGAGGCAGCGATCTGGGGACGGAGGAGCGGTTGCCCACATCGATAAGAATGCCACCGCTTGGCGGTGGTGGCTCGCCGAGGTGTCTGCTTGTAAGCACCTGGTAGAAATCGAGCCCATGTTCCTGACGTGCCCGCTGCACTCAGGTTCGCCCTCGCTCCAAATCCCTGTGTTTCAGTGTAGACAATGCCCCACACTAACTCAACCCTCGGAGCCCACCACAGTTTGACGGCAAACCGCGGCCCAAAGCGCTACTCCTCGAGCTACAGCGAACCCCCCAAGCCTTCGTACTTCGTACTTACATCCGAGCCCTCTAGCATGCTAGACCCTGAATCAGTCAACCCTCCAACCCTGAAAGCCCTGCAAACCCTGAATCTGTACGCCTTTCGAGCTAGCAGGGTCGGCTGGTGGGGCCTTCGTAGGGATCTGTATCATCACCCCCAGCCCGCAATCCGCATCAGGACCGAGGGCGGGCTTAGCTGTCCTAGAGGGCGAAGGCGCACACTGGGTCTGTATATGCTACCACAGACCCCGAGATCACAGCGCCAAAGTCCCCAGAACCATGCCGGGAGACAACAGTGCCCTGCAAACCCTAACCTGAATGCTCTCCGGTGGAGTATGTGCGGAATTACAAACGATCCCGAAGCCTATGCAGATGTTCGAGGTTTAGGCGGCGTAGTACAAGGACAACGTGACTTAGAGTCACTTGTACTTCAGTCTTCTCATGATCACTCAGTCGCTAGTCTCACGGTTCTCTCTCTTCTTGTTCTTCTTCTTCTTCTTCTTCTTATTCTTCTTCTTCTTCTTCTTCTTCTTCTTCTTCTTCTTCTTGATCTTCCTCTTCTCCTGCTTCTTCTCCTTCTACTTCTTTCTCCTGCTCCTTCTCCTTCTCCTTCTCCTTCTCAGCCTATTTACGTTTGGTAAACCCTAAAACCCTAAAACCCTAAAACCTTAAACCCTAAAACCCTAAAACCCTAAAACCCTAAAACCCTAAAACCCTAAAACCCTAAAACCCTAAAACCCTAAAACCCTAAAACCCTAAAACCCTAAAACCCTAAACCCTAAACCCTAAACCCTAAACCCCAAACCCTAAACCCCAACCACCTATGACTTACAGCCCCCCAGCATTGGGAGGGTGGAGGGAGCGGCTCCCTTCAGGAGGTCGCCACCTCAGAGCGTGCTTTCGTCGGCGCGGCCCTTAGGACAGAAGCTTTCGGTTTAGGGTTTAGGGTTTAGGGTTTAGGGTTTAGGGTTTAGGGTTTAGGGTTTAGGGTTTAGGGTTTAGGGTTTAGGGTTTAGGGTTTAGGGTATTAGGGTTTAGGGTTTAGGGTTTAGGGTTTAGGGTTTAGGGTTTAGGGTTTAGGGTTTAGGGTTTAGGGTTTAGGGTTCAGTGTTTAGGGTGTAGGGTTTAGGGTACCCGGTTTAAGAACACTTTCGACTCTCTCGGGGGCCGTGAGGACTCGCAAAACAGCTTTAACTTCAGGGCACATGATGAAGTCGAAACAACAACGCAACTCAACTCACGTGAGTGACGCTGGTCATCTCAGAGGCTTATAGCCTTATAGCGCTGCCCAGACAACAGCTTAAAGGACCTTAACGCCCTCGAAACATCCTAAGCATCGATGCCAAACCCGACGGACAGCTCGGGAGCCAGCACAGTGACGGCGGCCCCGCCAATCACGCCCTGTAGCCGAGCATTTCGTTATTCGTTCTCATATGGCAATACTACGGCACTAAGCTTTGCATGTTTCGGGTTTGCAGGAGGGTTTTCCCGAATAGCCGCTTACTGATAAAACAATTCAGGTTCGTTTGCAATGCCTGACGCCGGCCTGCTCTTTGCCCGCGTTCTGGTTCGCTGGCACTGGACCTGGGTGGTCCCTCACTTAGCTCGCTTCTCTCTCATGGTCCGAACCCCTTGACCGACGTAATGGTGAGTTGCATCGTCACGTGCAATTCTAAAGGCTTCAAGGCACATCACAAGAGAATTCCGGCGCACTCAACCTTGACAAAGCCTCTCTGTTGCTCCCTCCCCAAATGCCTTGCCAGTGACTTATACATACTTGCAAGCTTCGCACGGGCATAGCTTAAGCAACCGAAAGTATGCTGCCCTCGACTGTACTCTGACAGCAGGATCAAGCGGCTGCCAATCACAATCTGCTCATTCCCGGTGAAGGCCGTTACCGGCCTCAGACAGGGCAGCTTGTTTCCTGCTCCCAAGCCCTACATTTCGAAAACTTCCGAAACCTCGTAGATTCGTCGTAGATCCTGGGCGCTCTGGAAAGGCATTTCGGGAAAAGTCAACCCAAGACAGTCTGCCCATGTTTCATAAACCCTAAACCCTCTTAGCCCTAGGCCCTAGAAAAGCCGAGTCTCGGCCATCATACCATCTGCGCTGAGCTTAGCCCCAGCAGGCAGCGGCCAAGCAAACAAGTAAATATGTTGGAGTTGGTTCGCGGCTACCGGGGTCCATTGGGTTTCATCCGGGGCCCGTAGGACCAAGCTTTCAGGGGTGTTTAATTCAGGAATCTGAACATGTGTGGTGGCTGCCAAGGTCCAGACCACTTCGGTGTTGTGGCACTCTTAGTTCCTGACGTCTCGTGCTTGGTGTTCCGGCGCCTCATTAAAAACCTCGGGGGTGGTGCTGCAATGGTGCTCTTGGGACCGGTGTGGAGGTTGGGCTTTCGGGTCCCCCCAATCTATTGTCTGTGGGCAGCATGCCGGATGCCTGTCGGAAAATCGCACACAAGAACCTACCAGACCACGACTTTCCACGCACATCCATGCGAGAGCACGCTTGGTTGGGTTTAGGGTTATGGGTTGAGGGTTTAGGGTTTAGGGGAAGCACCTACATACCTGCACTAATGTCAAAGAGATTGAGAGGGCGTATGTCGCTCGGGGCCAGCATCGATGCGCGCAAACCCTCCAGCCTCTAATCGCAAAGCCCCAGTCCCACCACAAAAAGCAGGTAAAATCCAAGTCAAGCTGGTGAAAGCACACCCAGGTCAGGTGCAGGATGATGACGATGAGGACCTCGGAGGGTTGGAGGAGGGTTGACGAGGGAGGGAAGTACGTACTTGATGCTTTTACTCCAACAGGGCTGATCTGATTCTTTCTTGCAGCTGAAGCGAGATTGGCCACGCTGCACGGGGCCAATGCCCAGGGTGTAGCATGGTGTACAGGGCCTATAAGGCCGCCTATCAGCCACAAATATACGTAGGGGGTCGCGAGATTAGCCGCGACACCATCGATAAAGCAAAAGGCAGAGAGCAACTCGACCCCTAAACCCTAAACCCCTAAACCTAAACCCTGAACCCTAAACCCCTAAACCCCTAAACCCTAAACCCTAAACCCCCAAACCCCTAAACCCTAAACCCGCAAGCCCAAAGCGCCCTGAGGGCTCCGGGGTGCATCCAAGGTCAGCGCGACCACCAGAAGTGCAGTCAAGGTCAGGAGAATGGCCTCGCCCAGAGTGCAGTAGGGCAAAAGGGTTTCTGCTGCATGGAGGGCCGCGCGCGATCCATGCAAGGGACCAGCCCAGCACATTGGGTTTAGGGTTTAGGGTTTAGGGTTTAGGGTTTAGGGACTAATTTGTGGTTCAGTTGTCCATGGGGCAAACAGTCCAGTCGTGAACGCCCGCAAAGCCTTGAGGGCCTAAACGACACATAAGTACAAACTTACATATGTAAAGGTTGGGATTGTGGGTGCTCGGAACAGAGAGTGCGCGCGCGCGCGAGCAGGGAAAGGAAGAATGAGAGAGAGGGAGAGAGGGAGAGAGAGAGAGAGAGAGAGAGAGAGAGAGAGAGAGAAAAAAAAAAAAACAAAAAACAAGAGTCAGAGTCAAGGCAAGAACGCACTGGCATGGACACGAAAATCACCTGAAGCCACTGAGGCCCAGCATCAGAAACCGTGCATACTGTGCCCGTGCCCGAGCGGCACATCTATATGAAAATGGATTCGTGGCACTGGGGCCGACACCAGAAGTCGAGAAAGTCCGCCGGCCTCGCCTCAGCGGAAGGGACTGAGGTGACTTGCGGATGGAAAAAGCAGGTTCGGGCTTAGGTCGGTCTACTGGTCAAGATGTTGGGAAAAGGGAGTTCAAGCAGGGATCTGTTCTAATGAAGGATTTCAGATTCAATCGGCTCTTCAGTATGGGCCTACGTGGACAATTCACCACCCTTCACCCGAACTCCTCCAAGTTTCTTTGACGGAAGACCTCCTGATGAATCGATGAAGGTGGCAAAGTGCTGCTGCATGATCAAACTTAGACTTTCCACCCTGAAACAGCTAGGCAACTGCGAATTCGTGGAGCGCATTGGGACTCCTTGAACCAAACGAGCACCGCACCACAGAAAGTGTTTTGGACCCGCCCACAAAGCGAACGAGGGCCACGCCATCTTTTCCATCCGGCCTGGGAGGCGTGCACAAGGGGAGCCAAGGTTCAAGCGTGTTCGGGAGAGCTTTAGGCTTTCGGGTTGCCGAACTGTGGCTGCAAACCCAAACACCCCAGCTAGGCGCCAAACTTTGAAGCCCATCCTGACCCTTGAGAAACATCTTTGCCAGAGCTCCTAAAGACCCGCACCCAAGATACTGAAACACCCCCAGCGAACAACTGTAACATCCGCGAACACAGAAATTCTCTGTGCTCTACGTACTGCGCTGGCTCTGGGCTTCAGGCCCGTCGCCGAGTCCGGTGTCGGGAAAGGTCCGTGCGGCCTGTGGCAACCACCACGTCTAGCTCTGGAGTGCAAGTCTGGAGAAGATCCAAGGCAGGGGATAGGGTTAGGGGGACCCCCGGGGAGAAAGACCCTCTCAACAAGGTCCCTGTTTAAGAGAGCCAGAAGAGGGTTGAGATGGGTTGCCAGGCCCCCGTAATCCTACCTAGGAGGCAGGGTTTAGTGTTCAGGGGCTGGCATGGCAGAAGCATTCTCGCTGCCTCCTCGATCATCTTCGAATAGTACGCGTTGATGTCCTGGATCCTGGTCTCCACCTGCTGGCGGTGAATGATGATCTGGGTTATAGGCCCACGATGTTACGCCGGCGACACTGACACAAGCACCGCCCCCTCCCCTTTTTGGAGCCAGACTCTTTGCGTCAGCTGGCACCATGACCCTGTTGAGGAGGCAGGGGGATGCGGGCTTGGCACATGCGTGCTCCACCCGTCTTTATAAGAAGGGCCCTGTCCTGCACTCCATGCTGGGACTAGGGTGGGTTTGCCACCCGCCTACAAGGAGCTGACTCACCCACGATTTAAGCTTTATAGCGGTTTAGGGCCTCGTGATCAAAAGCCCCAACGTGAAGATTGGAGCTGAGTTCCTCAGCCCCTCTAAAGGCCGGGATGTACCCTTATAGAAGCCGCCTCTGCTCGATTCGACGTCGTCAAGGAGGACGACGCTTTCCTCTGAAGGCCGATGGGATGTGGGATGCCTTTTTCCTTCGCTTAGGCTGGTCCTGGTCAAAATCATGCATGCATATTTGCTTGCCAGCTAGCTAGCTCGAGCTCTGCGCAAGGAGCTCAGTTCAACATGTCGGAAATGTGTTCAGTTTCCCGTGTCTCTGCATGTGGGCTGGCCTGGGCAGGACACAGATGGTTTTGTCAGAGCCACCGTACGGTCAAAAGTGCAGGCGATGAAGGCTGAGAGTAGATAGTTGCCAATGATTACCAGCGCGCCAGAGCGCGCGCGCGCATGTACACACCCACATGCACACGACACCTACACACCTACACACACATACACACACCTACGCACCTACACACCTACATACCTACACAATACCTACACACCTACACACCCACATACCTACACACCCACACACCCACACACCTACACACCTACACACCTACACACCTACACACCTACACACCTACACACACACACACCTACACACACACACACCTACACACCCACACCTACACACCAACACAGAGAGAGAGAGAGAGAGAGACAGCTGTGCGCACACACGCGCCTCTACACCCTACACCTCGACACACCTACACCCATCTAACATGCACATGCACAGGCACCCCAAAAACCTTTAGCTGCGCCACTAGGTGTTGTTGAGGCTTGAGGTTTTCGAGCTGATGGTCTGGGCTTGTAAGCTGCTCAGCACGGGCGCGGTGCCTTGAGGGCTTCGGCACCAACCCCCTAAAAGGCAGGGAGTTGGGGTCTCGTGGCTCCAAGCCCTATACAAGCATAACTTCTTAACCCGCCAGGATGCTTTCCAGCCCGAAAGCTAGACTGCCTTCCAGAGGCACGGCCAAGCTTTACATAAACACCCTCTCTGCCCAAAGAAAAGCCGGCTTCCACCTCAAATCTACCCCAAACTCAGGAAACGCCTAGTGGTTCAAATAATGTCCGTTTTGGCGGCCTTCTGCCCGAAAAACCTGCTGCGGTCAAGCAGCAAGACGAGGTCATTGCGCTCCATCATCAGCTCCTCCAAGGGGATGTGCTGTAGAGAGTCACTTCAAAGTCCCGGTTTGAAGGATACGGCGGCAGATGTTGGTGCCCCTTTTACATGCCCAAAGCCTCCATGAGGGCTACCCGCAGCTGACCTAATAGCCTGGTGACCCCAGGCCCGACATCCAGTCGTACTGTGACCGTGCAGCACTGCTGTCATTCCGTGCTTTTGGGCGCCTCTCTGCTGTTTTGTGGGCATCCAAGCTTGGGTTCATAGCTAAAACCCCAGACGGCCACACGACTGTCACAAGAAACCCCTATGGCGGGCGCCTGCATCTTTCGGTTGGGCCCTAGCTGCAGGCCCTCTCGGCGAGCGATGTCCACCAGGAGAACCTCCGCAGTTTTTCAGATGCTGTAGGCCAGGTGTAAGATTGTATCATCCCTGTACAACCCTGGGCCGTTTTGAAAGCTAAACCCTAAACCCTAAACCGAGTTTGTGGTTTTCAGAGCTGCTCTGCATGGCAGCATCTGGGTTTGGGCTCCATTCCTTCGCACCCTCGCAAGCCACGCGTGAGGGGGCTTCAGGCCTTTACAGGGTCCTACAACTTGCGAGCCATGACTCCTCTGTAGATCTTCGGCCTTGCTCCGCACACTTCCCAGCGCTTCGGGGCAATGTTGTGTAAATAGGGTGAAAAAAACTCTACTTCCGCTAGGAGGATTGCTGGAGAAGGCTGCCTCGGCTGCCTCTCTGGGACTCAAAAAGTGTTGGGCTTCCCCGAGAAGCCACCTGCATACTCACACTAGAGAGGCTTAAAGTCCAAAACCGAGAACCCTAGGCCTCTTGCAAGCCAGCCAGAAACGAGAAGGCCCCCGCGCCTGCCCATTGTCCCAAATGCTTTCTTCCAAGGTCCTCTTGACCTGCGCAGTAGGCTCACACTCGCATGGGCCAGAAAACCATGAACTGAGAAGTGGCTTTTATCATCTATTTGGCCTAAAGGGCATATCTCCTGATCTCAGTCTCGTCCCCCTTCCAACGGGAACATTTCCCCTGCCTTCCTAATCACATGTCGTCAGAAAACGGGATTTTGACCGACGCACGGAGCACAACAGCTACGCCCACAGCGGGAACCTCAGAGATGTTGCAGATACCTGTAACCCCAATTACCTGCAGTTTTATGGGTTAGACGGTGCAAGTACTACTAAACTGCATGCCATTGGGGTTACAGGTACATACCTGGCTGTAGTGAGACCGTAGTGGCGCCGCCTGCTCCACGCCGGAGTCGCCCGACTCTGGACAGCCATCTGGCATGGTGTAGGGTATAGGGTATAGGATATAGGATATAGGGTATAGGGTTTGTTTAGGGTTCATCATGGTTCACAAGGGCCACAGGCTCTGCTGGGATTCTTGAGCTCGGGATTTGCGACAAGGCTGGTGGAAGGATGCAACACAAAGACGCATTCATGAAGTGGCACCTGCTACCCTAAACTCTAAACCCTAAACTCTAAACCCTAACCCTTTTTGGGTGTTGTCCTTTTGCACGGCTCAGTGAGACCGATGTTGGGGAGGAGGGGGAGGGACTGACGGTCGATCATTCGCCTACTGCAGCTGCCACCCTTGACACAAGCAGCTCCCATGATCTCGCTGCTTCAAACTGGCCGGGGGTGCCACAAGTACATTGGTAGACTGTGGTGTTGCTGTATCTGGCCTTCCAAAAAGTGGTTGCGGCAGGACGCAAAGAAACAAAAAAACAATCAACCTTCTTGCGAGTGCTTGGCTAGCAAGCCAATGCATGAGTCTAGCACTAGCATCCCTGCTCCGAAACCCGACTCTTTCCATGAAACTCGGCGTAGACGATGGTCCACAAGCACTTCACGGCCCATCAAAAGAAAACCATACGCCACCTGGACCAACCGAGGCTTCGGCAACAGGCTGCCCCCGCAACGATCTATCACATCCACGGCATCTTTCTCGAGACCGCCCGCTAGAAGCCCAAGTAGAAATCCCTTTGTAGAATTCGGACTCTCTCTTGAAAACCTTGTATCATGACCTCTGCCAGCTGAGGCCCCTGCCCACCAAGGCAAACCTGCTCGGGTTTGCGGGTTTTGAAGCTTGCAAGGTTCAGGAACCCCTCAGCCGAATTGCTGAGAAAAGACGGAGGCAGCCCCCCCCCCCCCACCTGGGCCATCGAGGCGCCAAACGAACTTTGTTTCGCACAGGGCGGGGCAGTTTGCCTCGGAGGGTCGCCGCGCTCGGGCCGCTCAATTCAGCTTCCGCAGGCCCCAAAACCAAACCAGGAAGAACAAGGACCCGAGGACACTCCTGCCTTCTTTTTGCCACACATCTCTTCAAGGTCCCTATAGCCTTAAAAATACATACACACAGATCTCTATATATATATATATATACGTACATACACACACAGACAGAGATAGATAGATATATATATATATATATAAATAAAGGCAGTCGTGATGGAAGGGCCCGATTTTGTGTTTGCCACCCACCTAGTAGCCTTGTAGCACTCCAGCCCTTGTATGCCCCAGAAGATCGGACCTTGGGAATGCTGCCATCCTCCCTGAAAACAAGTGTGTCAACGCACAACTTACGCACCGAAGAGTCACGAGTGGCCTCTCTTGATATCAGCTAATAAAGGGTCAATGCTCAGATGGAGGCAGGGGGGGACGTAACACTGAGCCGTCATGTCATTATCCCAGTATCCATCGCATGCTATGCCTGTGCCCCCTTTTACCCAGTCACCAAAGCAGTAGGCTGAACGAATCCACCAACCCAAAGTCTGCCAAAACCTTCGTCTTTACCATTCGTCCTGTGATTGTCCATCCAGGGGGGGGCACAGTGTTGCCGATGCCATTCATGTCGGTGGTGGCCTGGGCAGCGTTGAGGACGCTCATTCCGTAAACTCTAAGGGTTTCACACTCCTACAAGGGCTTCAGTGTTGCAACGGAGCACCGCACCTTCTTTCAGAAAGCAGCTGGGGGTGCTTTAGACCATATAAGGGCATACTATTGGCAATTATTCCGGCCCCCTATTATTAGCCCTTGGCTCCGAGTCCCCCGGCGCAGCATCCCGTGTTGGATTCGGGCCAGCGGCCATCCTCGCAGACCTTTGGCGGGAAGGTTCGGCAGCCGGGGGATGATGGGGTGGGTGTCTCGCTGTTCTTCTTCGCCTTCTTCTGCTGCTCGCTTGAGGGACCCCAAGGATCACGAGGTCCAGGCACCCCGGGGCACCCATCCGCTCATCTATTTACTGGCCCCAAGTGTCGGCTACGAAGTGTCCCCAGCCACTGCCTCCTGCAAGGGCCCACCCACAGCACTTTGTCAGTGCCCACCGACCCTACCTCGTCATCGAAATAATTGGCAGCGGCCGGCCCTGTTCGTTTGGACTGGGAGTTGCAACGAGGGCTCGTGTAGAAGACGAGGAGCAGGACCTGAACGCGAACTCCCTGCCTGAGGAGCACATCCGTCACTGCTTCTGTCGGTTACTTGATACTTCGCACCCCTTTTCCCCCTCGAGATCTCGTCGGAACCCCGTTAGAAGCCCCTAGACACCCCTCGCACATGCAAGAGATCCGGGTGAGAAGCGAGGAACCCACAAGAGACTCTGCCGACATGCTGCGCACCACTTCTCAAGCTCGGACTCTCAGGCTGTTATAGGCTTGTTTTATGGCTCTCGCTAGCTGTCCGCGAAAGAGGCTCAACGAGCCCTGATGAGCAGGGTACATTCTTCGTGCACCTCCTGACGTGTCAGCTCCCACCCTGTCTTCGACATCTGCAGCGGAGAGGAACATAGAGAATGACAACCTCCACCCACAAAACAGACAGTGAAACGCAGAAGGCCCATGGCCGATAGGAAGAATTCACCACGGACTCGTAGGGAAGCCAGAAGCATCCGATCAGCAACAGGCTCATGAACTGAACAAGAATCGCAGCAATCCATCGAGGAACTGTCGCTGGCAGCCGGGCGCCCATTCTCCAGGCGAACATCGCCGACCAAAAGAAGAAGAGTGTCAGCGCGGGCACCTTGAAGTAATCCACTATGAACACCCAATGAACACCACGGTTGCGGACTGAGAGATGGACGTAGAGTGGCAGAACTGGGAACGCGGTGGATGCGACCATGGCAAAGATATACTTGAAAGGCGGAGTACCTCGACCGAGGGATCAGAGGCATGCGGAAGGTCTGCCCGACTTGAGTCACTGTTGGTTTAGGGTTGAGGGTTTAGGGTTTAGGGTTTAGGGCTTAACCCCAGGTTGAACCAGGGCTGCCCGATCCAAGGCTTCGGAGAACGTGGACACTCAAGCGCTCGCGCACGAGCGTGTCGAAGCATCTCAGGTGCTCCTCGTCCTGGACATTGGACTTGTCCGCATGTCTCGAAAATTTTGCACTACTGTCATACTCTTACATTAGGTCTGCTACTACCGCATTATCGGTATATTGTAAAATAGAGAAGGTATTTGCTTTTGAGCTCCTGTTCCTGCTTCTTTAAGGTGAGGTTTTCTAACACGCTAAGGCTTAAGTAAGGGACTTAAGGGAGCATCCTTTGTTATGCCTCCCAGGGTCGCCAGAGGACTCCGAGTGGGGATCCTTCGCGTACCACCGCCGCAGGGTCCGGAAAACAAGCTGCCGGTCGCAGATCAGAGGCTGGCCTGTCTCCGGATTCACGTGATTCCTTGGTTCTATTTGGTTCAGGGTTTAGGGTTTAGGGGTTGGGGTTTGGGGTTTGGGGCTTAGGCTCTTGAAACCCTTTCCGAAGATGGCAAAAAAGCAACTCGTTTATCTTGCGAAGCCTCTACGAGCGCAGCCCAGGCTCAGGGTGCAGCAGGCACACTGCGATGCGGAGATGCTGAAGCTCCGCATCTGGTAGGGAAGCTTTAGCAAGTCCTGCGTGTGCGCAATCCCGAAGTACGTCTGCACTGGCCACACGAAGAGCCAGGCCGGAAGAATGAAGAGGAAGCCTGTAAGTATGGCCTGCCCAAATTTGACCTCGCCGAAGCTGCCCACGTCGTTCGACAGATACACCCATGCCTTGCACGTGATTCTAACTGCAAGCCCATACCCACCAGGAACACATGTGAGGGGTGTATATAGTCGGGTTAAGGCCGTCAGAAGTCCCATGCCTGCCACCCGAAGCAGGTAATCGTCAGAAAGAGGTGTGCGGAGCAAAGCCTCACTGGGTCTGAGCTTCTGGGAAGCCCTTACCAACGACCTGCAACCCCAAATACCTACGGTTCAGTAGCACTTACCCCTCAATTCTTGGGTACAACCCATAAAACTGCACGTAATTGGGGTTAGAGGTAGGCCATCCTTCCAGGCCCTTCTCACCCACGGACCCAAGGGGCAGAAGCGCGGCTGCGACTGGTACCAGCTCAAATGAATCGATGCGCTCCTCCTTTCTCAGCGGTTTAGGGTTTAGGGTTTAGGGTTTAGGGTTTAGGATTTAGGGTTTAGGGTTTAGGGTTTAGGGGCTCCTAGTCGAGTTCGCGAGGGACTCCTTGGGTGCGGGAAAGCTGGTGGGTGAAGGATTGGGGGATCTCAAGCGGATGCCAAGGGAGAGACTTTCAAAAACCCTAAACCCTAAACCCTAAACCCTAAACCCTAAACCCTAAACCCTAAACCCTTAGGCTGTGCTTCCTGGTGGCGTTGTTGCCTTTGGGGCTTCGGGTTTGGAATGTTCCCCCTTATACTGACAATCCTTAGAAGGGATTATAGTACCCCCTAGTACAAATCTCTATGAAGGACTGCTAGTATAAGGGAGAACATCCCAAGTTAGGGTTGTTTAGGGGGTTTGAAGTTTGGCAGGCTGTGGGATGCGGCGGCGTTGGAGCGAATGGCGCGTCGATTCCAGGGAGGTTGTTCCGCCACCCTCGGCCCCAAACTCCACTTAATGCCAATGAAGGGAAGCGTGAGTAGGAGGCCTGACCCTAAACCCTATAAACCTTAAACCTTAAACCTTAAACCCAAACCCTTTTTTTGCAAACCCTTTTTTGCAACTGGCTAAGTCACGCCAGGAACCCACCCCTGATGTCGCTCAGGTTGCTGCACTGGTGACAGAACCGAGAGAAGCCAGGAGCAGTAGCTCCCTAAACCCTAAACCCAAGATCAGGTGCTGGCTTCGGGTTTGGGATTGAGGCGTTGAACTTCTTGCTCCTGCTTCAGCCAGCAGGCTAACTCGAAGGCGCACCAAGCCCTGGTAAAGAAGCGCGGCGACCACAAGACCTGAGAAGCTTGCCCCCCGACCGGCCACATGCAAAACACCTGAATTCACAGCTTAATTCGGCCAGAGGTGTTTTGCTCTCTTTCTTTTCAAAAGGTCGGGCAGAGGGGGTTTACGATTGGGATGTTCTACCTTATACGAACAGTCCTGCATAGGGGAGTATAATGGGGGGGGTTACCACAATCCCTACTAAGGAATGTTAGTATAAGGGGGGAACATCCCAAGGTTCACGAGGAAACGCTCAGGGCCCAGATCATCGAGCCGAGGTGCGACCAGCCTGTTGGATCTGGCAAGGAACCCGCCAAGGCTGAGAATTCCATGCCTGGGTGTCAAGGTAGCTATGCTCCCCTTAGAGGCTTTTAATGCAAATGCTAGTTTTCATATTCCCCTTGGGGTTGATATTGAAAGCAACGAAATCCTAAGGCGCTATGGGTAGCAGGGGCAACGCTGTTGCTTGGAAGTATTTAAAAGCTCGGGAAGCAAGGCGACCCCGACTGTCTCTCTTCGGTGGAGCCTCCGAACACTTGGGGAAATCCACTGCTCGTACTAGTATGACGCTCTGCATTTCGAGCTCCCAAAAGCTGGGCATTTCGGGCTCCCACAAGCTGGGCAAAAACATATCCCTAGGCCCAGGCGCCGCTTGAGCTCGTCGTTATGCTGCGCGATGCAGAGCTTATCCAGAAAGACCAGGGTCTCGGAGCACCACAGGCGCTGCAGCCGTTGCCAGAAAAAGAGCACCAAGTAGAACGTGCCATAGGCGGCTGCGCAGCCCGTGGGCCAGCCTCCCGGGAGCCAACCCAAAGCCAGCAGCCCACTCGACAGAAGCACTGTGAAGAGGGACACCGATGCTGCCGGCATGCTGTTGAAGACCAGGAGAAGGGCCAAGGTCTTTGAGAGTCTTCCCGTCTGCCAGTCATGGCTCAGGAAAGCAGAGATTCGAGGTGTGACCTTGCTCAGACTGTAGCTGTCCCCTCGGTCGGATCCACTAGACCTAAAGGTACTCCCCCAACCGCGAAGACAGATGTCCAGCGCCACGCCCCTGACGAGATGACTGTCGACTTCCGATGCCAGAGACGCAGTCTCATCGAAGCCTTGGCACTCCACGCGCTCGCTGTCCTCGGCCACAGCCGGGAGTGCCGCCGGCTCGGGGGGCTTGGGCACCATCCGAAGGATCGTCCCGAGCCCTTGGCGCTGCGGAAAGCCTGTGCATCCACCTTCCGAGCTTTTTGGCTGATGCCTTTCGCCACATCTCCAAAGAACAAAGAGTGAGAACCCTCAACTCCTCAACCCTGTAAGCCCGAAGCATCTTGTTTCCTAAGCATCCCAAAGGCCCAAACCCTCAATTGTCTGTGGCCCGCTTCGAAACTGTAGCTTTTTTCTTGGGGGCACATGCCTATTAGAACGCCCCCCCCCCCCCCCCCCCATGTGCAGAGATACAGCATGTTGTGTATTGACATCACCTGTCCGACCTTCCCAAACTCAAGCCCCACAGCAGAGCCCACCGGGTGCTCGGGCGTAGTTGCTCATCGTGAGCATGGGTGTGCGGCAGCCAAGAAACTTTCGGCACGGTGCGTTCCTTAGGTGTGGGTGGGAGTTGTGCGGAGGCCCCTCAATGGCCCCTCAACGACAAAGAAGCTCATGGCCCATTCAATTGACAAAAGGCCTCGAAGGATAACTTTACCTTTGCAATAAGGCTACCCGGAAATGACCCTGAAAGGTACCTGCTATAACAAGGGCTGGTTGCAAAAAGAAATTGTCCCAACTGATTCCCTCAACACAACACTGATGAACGCGGACATGCCACGCCTGAATCAGACCTCAACTGTAAAACCATATCTACACTATACAGGGTTGAAAGTTTCGGGCTACTGGGCCCATGCAGGGGCCGATTCAGTATGTCTCTTCAAAGTACATGCTGCGGACAGGCCGCGAAAAAACTGAGCATTTGATTGTGCTACTTCATTGCAAAGCCCATTAGCGGCCAGAAGCCCGTAAACCATGTGACCCGAAAACATACGCGCACCATTCATGATCCATTCATGGAACCTCAACTTTCGGACGCGGAAGGATAAAGGAGCAGCTGAGATCGTGACGAAAGCAGGCATTGTTCCTCCAGTCCAAACAAGGTTGATTCGTAGTTGCCAATACCTACTTATCCCATAAGGCTGGGGGTTGCTGTGTGTCGCACAACCTGAGTATGTCAGCTGCTGTCTGCATCAGAAGAGTTTGGAGCTGCACGAAGCCCCTTCACTGCCGCGAGCCTTACACTCCTGGCTGGGCGTCGGATCGAAGCTTGGGCAAAGCTCATTGCCTGGAGCGAAAGCACGGAGTGTCTGATGTCAATCGGACTCTGGGCATTTCTCACCGGCGACAAAACACCAGCAACTGTTCAACACGACTTGCCGTTGCTGCACGCTGCCATGCACCGGATGCTTGAATTTTGTTCGATACCATAAAGCTACCGGCAAGATCCGCTGAGACCACAACCGGCCCCGAAACACTTAACTAGGATGGCCCTCTGAAACCCCCTGAAAAACATTATGGTCCTCTGAAACCCCAAAGGGACGATAAAGTATGTCCTAAGGGTCTACCTAGTGAGGCTCCGAAGCATCACGATGCCCCAAGGCAGCGGCAGCTGTGGATACAGGTCTGGGCGTCCTGGCCGGCACACCTGAGTGCTTCTTCAGGCAGTGCATGCACGCATTCCAAGCATCCCGCACGCCCTCCGCAGCCTTTCAAGCTCCACGTTGTTGCAAAGCCTGAAGCCCCCTTACGAAGCCACACAAGTCCCACAAGGGTGTTGGGGCTTCAGGCTGATGAGGCTTCAAGAGCGCTGCAGCCCCAGAGCCGACTCGCAGAATCCCCTCTGAAGTCTGCTTGCGCAACCTGAAATCTGAAAACCCCACAAGGCCGTAAAAACCACCCGAATCAAAGCAAGTCCGTGCCAGCAGTGGTCTGAGGCAGGGACTGCCCCTCGCTTGGGCATCCGACTTCCTGAAGCAGCACTTGGGTTGCTTGGGGCAAGAAGAAGGAAACAATTTGGGTAGGTACGCAGTTGCAAAAATGTTGGGGTTTGTCAGGGTGCTGTGTTCGGGAAGTCTTGCCAAAAGGCCGCCTGCCGAGCTTAGGATTTTAGTGGTGGGTCGGTCCCTTTCGAGGAATGCACGTCGCGGACGCTGCCCCACTGAGGCCACACTGTCTTCTTCTGGAGGCTCTACCTGGCTCCTTCCTTTCTTTCTTTCTTTTCTTCCTTCCTTCCTTTCTTTCCTTCATGTGGCTGTACTCTCTCTCTCTCTTCCTTCCTTCCTTCCACAGCACTTAACCCCCAAGGGGGTCGTCCCAAGGGACGTGCTCAAGCGATCCAGTCGGTTGTGAAACTGCCCGCACAGGCTGGAGTTACTTCGTATTAGAATGCCCTCCACTGTACCCTGTGCTATGGGTGTGGTGGTGGAGGGTTATTCGGACACCCACATGACAACTGTGACCCCCAAACATCCCTATTGGTTAAGGCTTATACTCGAAGCAGTCCCTCGATCCTCCCACTCAGCTCGGTTGTTGCACGGTATCCCCTGTGGAAGTTTCTTCCCAGGAATACCCCAATGTATGTTACAACTGACTTGGGGTCACCACTATGTTGTTCAGGGTAACGATTGTCCACAGCCTGCCATACTTTAGCGTCCCCCTAGTTAAGGCTTAGGGTGGTTCTGGTGTTCCCCTTCCCAGTCAGTGTGGTGCCTGCTTCTCACTTCGGGCCATCATTGTTATGGGCGGGTTGAACAGTCCCATAAGGGGTTGTAACGGGTCGGGGTTGTGAGGTGGCACTCAGACAATTTTGCCATCCCCCTGGCAGGGATGCTACTTCTGTACAGGTTTCGTTCCCGGGTCATTTGTGGGGTAATTGTGGTCCACAGCTTGCAGTGTTTCGGGCGACTATTCACAAGCACAGGTACTAGTTATGATTGCCCGGTGATGTGGGGTTGGCTTTGCTACTTTCACCAGGGTGGTTGAGGGGCACAGCGACTTCGGGGTAATGGTGGTCCACAGCTTGTACTACAGTTTGGCGGGCCCTATCATGCATGTTTATTCCCCTTACCACCTCAGAAGATTTTGGCTGATTCAGTCGCTTTCACTGTTGCCATCATGCTCCCTTCGTCGTCTGTGTTCTGGTAGCCGTGGGGGGCGTCGTGGTAGTGGCTCCTGCTCGACTTCGTTGGTGTAGTGGTGGTAGTGGCTGTGGTCCGAGCCTGCTCCAGGGTGGTGATTCGTCCCGTCCTCGTCCTCGACTGTCGCTGGTGGTTCCCCCGTTCGCGCGGGTGGCCATGGCATTGTGGACGGAGTGCTCGGGGTTTGCCATCTTTCATGTAGTTCTTCTTGCGCTGCCCGTGCCGAATGTGCTCGGCTGATGACCTGTTCCAGAAGCCCCTGCATGTGCTCCCTGCGGAGGCCTGCTCGTACTTGGTCTGCTAGTTCCTCCAGCATTTCCACGCCCTCCCTGCATGCTCTGGTGCTCCGTTCCATGGCTTCTGCTTCTTCTTTGGTGGGGGTTCGGTCTCCCAGCCTGTTGCGCTGTTCCTTGGCGCGGCGAATGGCGGTCTTGAAGAGGTTGGCGATGGTGTAGATGTCTTGTCGCATGGCCTCCCTGGTTGCTTGTGGTTGTTCAGGAACTGGGTCTGCTAGGAGTTGGGTAAGGCGAATGCCTTCTTCCAACTCTGGTGTGTCCCATGCGGTCTCGTGCTCTCCTCCCTCTGTGGGGCCCACTGGTGGTGGTGGCTCGTTGATGGGGTGCGATGTGTTGTGGTTGGCTCCTGGTGCCGCGGGCGGTTGGCTGTCTATGACGATGGCGTCGTCCATGCCCCAGTGCTCCCCAATCCAGCGCTGTATGTGGTTAATGGCATCGGTGAGCTGGGTGGCGATCTGCTGCTCCACAAACGGCATGACCCCCTGGATAGTTGTGATTGCTTGGAGCAGTGGGCCGGCTGGTGCCCCAACATTGTCGGTGCATTCGGTGGATTCCACGGCTCCACCAGCTAAGCCAATCACGTCTGCGGGGTGCGCTATTCCTCCATCGCGGGAGGTGTTGCGGCTCGTCGGCGTTGGCAGCGGTTGTGGTGCTGGAGGTGGCTGGCTCCACGCTGGCGCTCGGACGACTAGGTGGTGGGCCGTTGTCGCCGTGTGAATCAGCTCTGCTATGTGTTGTAGGTGTTCTGGTGCGGTGGCGGGTGGCGGGTCGTCTGTGTCATCCGTGTTTTGCTTGTTTTGTTCACCCCGTAGTTGACGGAGGAGTTGGGTGATGAGGTGGTGGCCGTGTGCTGCTGCTCCCTCTGCTTCTCCCCACGCTTGCCAGTCGCTTACTGCTTGTACTCCCTCCATTTGCTCCAGGCCCATGGTCAATAGTGCTCTGATCACCTCTCCCTGTTCGATTTGTGCTGCTCGGTCGATGTCCTGGAAGTTGGCTATGAGGCTGTGGGTTTGTCCTTCTGCTTCTTCAAACGCTGCTTCCATGGTGGTCGCGGGGGCGTTGTTGGATGTGGCAGTGGCAGTGGCAGGCCCATCTGTGCTGCTGCTGGCTGGTGTGTGGCTTGTGCACCGGTCAGGGGGGTTCGGTTGGTTTTGGGTCCTGGCGCGTTTGGCTCTCGTGTTGGTGCTTGTGCTCGTGTTTTCTGTCACTATTGTCATCGGTGGTTCATGTGTTGTGGCAGTTGCTGTTTCCGGGTTGGGATTTGGCCTGGGGTTTTGGTGTTGCCCGGGCTGGCTTCGGTGGGTCTGGACCATGGTGGTTGCTTCCGGTTCTTCTGGGGTCGTCGTGCTTGTTGTTGTCGAAGGTGGTGGCGGTCTCGGTCGTTGGTAGAAGCTTTGGACCACTGCAGGCGTGTGGCCCAGCGTAGGCGGGTTGTGTGGTTGGGGGTAGGCTTGTTCTTCTGCTGCTGCGGGCAGGGTGTGCTCAAGGTGGTCTTGCGGGCTCGGGGGAGGTTGCGAGGCCTGTTGAGCTGGGGTATTGGCATGGGTCGGATTGAGGTCCTCCATGGTGAGCTGGATCCATGTCCATGGGCGTACTTGGAGGTGCGGTCCTCCTGGGAGCTGCGTGTGTTGCTCGGGGGCGTCGTGGATGTGGAGTGTCCACTGGTTCGTGTCTTCGGCCTCCTGATACAGGAAGCCTGTTGTGCCCGGTGGTAGAGCAGGTTGCTGGTTGGGTTGTGGTTGCATTGGGGTGTTCGTTGCGTGGTTGAGGGCGACGACTTCCAGCCACCATCCTCCCTGGTGCGGTTGGAAATGGATTTTGGTGAGTGGGTCCTGTGGCATGCTCGGTGGCAACGGGCCCGTGTATGCTGGTGCTCCATCCGTGCGGTCGGCTCGTCGTTCAGTTGGTGTGTTCGGTTCATCTGCTTCTTGGTTGGGCTGTGTGCTGCTGGTCGGTGTGTGGCTGGTGTCAGGTGTCTGCTCTGGCCGCGGTTGCTTGTGTCTGTTGAGCATCTCCGCCCATCTGTGTTGCTGTCTTGTGGTCTGGCGGGTTGTATTGGGTGTTGGATCCATCTTTCGCCGGGTCTCCCCCCTGCTGGATGGATACGACCGGACTGAGTGTAGAGGAAGTCTTGGTACTGTTGTTTGATGGTTAAGCGGTGCGGGCCATCTTCCCGGGGTGGTTGGTAGATGTGGGCTCGCTGCAGTGCTTTCTTCATCTCATACTTGTCGTCTTTGTTACGCTGCCGCTGGGTGTATGCTTGTTGGTCTGGTCGGGTGGGGGGTGACCTGTGATCTGGTGTGTCGTGGTCCTGGTGGTGGTGTTGGTCGGGGGTAGCTTGGTGGTCGTGGTGCGGGTGGTGGTGATGGTGGTGTTGGGGTCCTGATTGTACCCCCTGGCATGAATCCGGTTGGGTTGCGTGGTCATTGTGGCATGGGTTGGAGGTCTGGGTGGGGGTCTGGGTGTTGCCATATTGGGGGGGTGCTGGTTGTTCGTCGCGCTGATAGGGTGGCCCGGGTGCGCGCCTCCATTCATGGCTGTTGGTGCGGAGTAGTCCGGTTCACCGGTCATTTCCCGGGTCGACTGGTGGGTGGTTGGTGGGTGGTCGGCCATTGGCTCGGACCCGATGGGGTGCAACGCCCACCCGTATTGGTTGTGGTGCGGCTGCCATGTGTTGTGTTGTGGCGCCCCTGCATGCCATTGCCAGTGGTAGTTTGCTTGCCAGCCGTCCTGCCATGGTTGCCAGGTCGATGACCATGTCCAGTACTGTGGGGTGTGGTAAGCCGCTGTCCACTGCTGGTGATCGGATCGTTCTGGCGGTGGCGCTGCGGTCGCCCTTCCCTCTGCTGCGGTGGGGTGCGACGCTGGCTGCACTGGTGTGGTTGGCGTGGCGGGCTGTGCTTCGTGCTGGGGTATTCTGGTGGGTTGCCTAAGCCGCTGTTCTCGCCTCGCCATGTCTTGCGGTGGGTGGTTCCCCTCGCGCGCTGTTGGTCCGTCTGCCTCGGGTCGTGTTGGTGGTGCATGCGAGGCTGTGGCTGTGTCCCTTGCGGTTCTTTGTGCTGTCGGTAGCGTGGGCGTGAGTGTTGTCGCCCCGGTGTGCTGAGTCAGGTGCTTGTGCAGGGCTGCCGCCGTGTATCTTCTTTGGGCTTCGGCCGCTACTTGGGTGAGGAATTGGAGCGGTAGTCTTCCTCGTCTGATCCAGTCCCTGTGTTGGTCAGCTGTCATGCCAGGGACTGGGGGGATGTCAGGCGGTGGAGCCGTTGTGATGATGTAGTCGTCCGCGTAGTCCATGGGGAAGGAAAAGGTGTTGTCTGGCCATTCTGCGTGTTCCGGTAGTGGTGGTCCTTCAGCGATTCTTTGCTGTGCTTCAGCCCAGGCATCCATCAGGGCTGCTTGGTATTGCGCTAATGCCGTGGTCGGCGTGTGTATGGTGGGTGGTGTTGGGTTGGCTGGCGGGTTGGGTGTTCCCGATGGGTGCCCCCATCTTCTGGGGACTCCATCTTGGTCATAGTCAGTGGTGGGAGTCGGTCTCGTGGCGGTGGTAGTGGTGGTAGTGGTGGAAGTGTTGGTGCCATCGACCGCCATGGTGGTGGTGGCTGTTGCGGTGGTGGTGGTGGTTGGTGTGTTTCCCCTCGGGGGGTGGTGGTGCGATGGTGGGTGCTGTCTCGTTGTTGTTCCACTGGAGCTAGCGCTGGCGGTTTGGTGAGTTGAACGCTCTCGGTGCTCTGAGATGGGTGGTGTCTGAGCCGGTGTCGGGTTGGTGGCCACAATGTAAACGGTGACATGTGTTGCTTGTAGCGCCGCTGGTTGTATGTGGAATCGGAGCAATGCCCCTCTTTGGAGGTGCGGGTGTATGGCTTCGACTGCATCCATTTCCAGACTGGTAGGGATGGGCCTGCTTCGTCTGGGTGCTCTGTTCGAGTGCGGTGGGGAGTGTGGGTTTAGGTTATAGGGGTGTGGCCTGGTCGTGGCCGGTGGTGGTCCTTCTTCGGCAGCAGCGTTTGTGGCGACGTAGGTGGGGTCGTCCGGTGTAGTGGAGGTGGTGGTCGGCATTGGTGTGGGCGTGGACACCGTCGTTGTCAGCCGGGTGGTTGTCATCGGGGTGTCGTTGGTCATGGAGGTCGTGGAATCCATGGAGGTCGGGGTGGTCGTAGAAGTTGTTGTTGGTTTCGTTGATGTCTGGGTATCGGTTCCCCTCCAAGGTGTGGGCATCGTCGTGGTAGTCGGGCTGGTTGCTATGGAGGTCGTGGTGGTCGTAGTGGTCAAGGTCAAGGACGAGGTCGAGGGGGAGGTCGAGGAGGACGTAGAAGCCACAGAAATCGTAGTGGTCATGGTGGTCGTAGTCGTAGATGTTGGTGTAGGCGTTCTTGCCGTTTGGGTATTGGTAGCTTCCGTTGTAGTTGTGGTAGTCGTCGTAGTCGTTGCACAGGCCGTACTCGTAAAGGTCGTGGAAGTCAAAGGGGTCGTGGTGATCGTGGGAGCCGTGGTGGTAGTTCTCGTTGGGGGTGTGGGCACCGTCGTGGTAGTCAAGGTGGTCGTCATCGAGGTCGTAGTGCCCGTAGAGGTCGAGGAGGCCGATGAGGTTGTCGGAGCCGCTGTAGTCGTAGTCGTAGTGGTTGCGCAGGCAGTACTCGTAGAGGTCGTGGAGGTCATAGGGGTCGTGGTGGTGGTAGTCGTCGTGGTAGTCAAGGCGGTCGTCATCGAGGTCGTAGCGCCCGTCGAGGTCGAGGAGGCCGTTGAGGTTGTCGGAGCCGTTGTAGTCATAGTCGTAGTGGTTGCGCAGGCAGTACTCGTAGAGGTCGTGGAAGTCATAGGGGTCGTGGTGGTGGTAGGGGCCGTGGTGGTAGTCCCCGTTGGGGTTGTGGGCACCGTCGTGGTAGTCAAGGTGGTCGTCATCGAGGTCGTAGTGCCCGTAGAGGTCGAGGAGGCCGATGAGGTTGTCGGAGCCGCTGTAGTCGTAGTCGTAGTGGTTGCGCAGGCAGTACTCGTAGAGGTCGTGGAGGTCATAGGGGTCGTGGTGGTGGTAGTCGTCGTGGTAGTCAAGGCGGTCGTCATCGAGGTCGTAGTGCCCGTCGAGGTCGAGGAGGCCGATGAGGTTGTCGGAGCCGTTGTAGTCATCGTCGTAGTGGTTGCGCAGGCAGTACTCGTAGAGGTCGTGGGAGTCATAGGGGTCGTGGTGGTGGTAGAGGCCGTGGTGGTAGTCCCCGTTGGGGTTGTGGGCACCGTCGCGGCAGTCGAGGTGGTCGTCATCGAGGTCGCGGTGCTTGTGGGGGTCGAGGGGGTCGAGGTGGTCGTCGGAGCCGTGCGGGTGGTACTCCTGGAGGTCGTGGGAACCATGGGGGTCGTGGTGGTTGTCGAGGCACTGGTGTGGGTGTTGGTGTTGGTGCTCGAGGCATCGGTGGTCCACATGGTGGTTCCGGTAGTCGTCGGTCCTGTCGAGGTTGGAGAGGAAGGTATTGTGGTCGAGGTCGGTGACGAAGGGGAGGCCACAGTGGTAGTTTCCGGTTGTTCACCAAGTGGTGTCCATATAGTTGCGGTACTCGAGGTTGATGGTTGGTAATTTCCCCCGTTGTCTGTGTCGTCGTAGGAGGTGGTTGTCGCTGGATTTCCATATCGTGTTGTTCTGCTCCACACGCAAGCCCCCAAGGTGCTCCACACCAGCATCGTTGTCACGAGCCGGTAGCTTGTGTGGTAGCTGCACATGTCCACGGCTGCCATCAGTTGACTTACGCAAGGAGGCAGCTCAAGATAGACAAGGGCTTGAACAAAAGCTTCTCATCACTGCAACTTCCCGGCACAGACAACACTGACATTGCTGAACTGCACATTGCTGCAACCTGCATCTCCATGTCGTTGTGTTTCCGAGCACGTGCTTGGCAGGACAAATTGGACTAAGGTGGGGGGGGAGGTCGTTATGTTCTTGGGCTGTTCTCGCAGCTTCGAGAGTTGAGAGTGGGGAATGGAAACGAAGGCCCTAGCCTTTGCAGGCGAGTGTTCACCTGCCCCTAATTGTTCAAGGTTCATTCGTCGTCTGTTCGGGCAGTGGGCCCGTGATTGGTAGCGGTGGTTGTGAGAATGGTGGTGGGGTCGGGTGGGATCGATTGGGGGTGAGGTTATGGATGGCTTGTTGTCTCCCCGTTGCCCAGGGGGGGTCGTGTTTGCGCACAAAGTCGCTGCCCAGTTCTTGCCATCGTTGTCGATTTTGTGCTATTGTGAGCCAATCTTCTCCTGCAACCGCCACTATGTGTCTTTCGATGTCGAGGTGCGGATTGAAACGATGCGCATGACGTGCGCCATGGCGTAGCGATTGTTGGCCTCTCCACCACTTGATATTGCGCCATTGGAGAACTGCTTGAGTGGTGGGATGCCCACGGGCGAGATGGCCCACTAACCCCCACACTTGCCATAAAACAAATGTGGACCAGCGCTGTAGCTGCTCTCGTTGCGCGATCATTCTCGCCTCCCGCAGGGTGCGGGTGTTCCATTCTGCCCATTGCTCGGTTGGTTGACGTGATCTCCCGAGCATGGCTCGGACTTGATGTAGTTGTTGCGAGTTCGCTTGCTTGAGGAGACTCTCCTGTATTGGCCAAGTGTTACACGCCCACAGGGCCGAGCTACGCACGTAGGTGTTGTGCAACTTGAGGCGGGGCCCGAGGGGTGTGGATGCGCAGAGGATGCGTTTCCTTAAGTGGAAGGTACGTCTTGCTCGCCCTTGCATTTCTGCTGCCAGGGCTGTAGTGACGTTGTCGAAGGTCAGAGGCGATCCCAGGGCGTGCAGGATGACATCCGGGCCTTGTGCTAGCACCGTTTCCCCGCCAATTCGGAAGGGTGTGCCCTTTCCCTGGGAATGGCTGGAGATGATGCCTGTTTTCTTGGGGTGTATGTCCAAGCCCTGCCGTTTGAGATGGGCTTCCAGGGTGGTGATTAGGCGTTGTAGTCGGGCGGGGCACCCTCCCCATAGGTATGTGTCATCCATGAAAGCGCCACCTGAGGTCGGACATGGTGGAAGCTCCCGTGGTTGGGCCGGGTGTGGCGGGGTAGGTGTGGTGCTGTGGACGTCTTCCACCAAGGTTTCTTGGAGGCATTCTCCAATGAGTTCTGCGAACAGTCGGGGACTGTCCGGAGAGCCCTGACGCACTCCATTCGTTTGCGGAACCGGGGTGGTGCGGTCTGCAATGGCCACGTTGATCTCCCTCGCGCTAATCACGTCAATCCACAGTTGGGCTTCCCACGGCTTTCCTGCATCTGCTACTTTCCTGCGAACTAGGTCTGCCATAGCTTGACGACGTACATTTGATCTCCCCAGTCCTTAGACATCCTGGTGACTCGACGGAGGATGAAGACCAGTTCCGCTGATTGCCGGCGCGGCGAAGCATATTGTTGTGGTGTTTGGCACAATGCTTCCCCGCATCTATGCAGGAGAAGTTGGGCCAGCCACTTCAAGATTGTACTGCTCAACGTGATCGGTCTGGTCTCTCCCCAGCTGGTCGGGGCGTGGGTCTTAGGTAAAAGGACGGTGACTCCCTCGGCTATGCCTGGGTGCAGTCTGCCTATGTAAAACATATCATTGAGCATCTCTCGGAGCTTGCTCGTCCATACTTTGTCTGCGAGCAGGTGGTGAAGTGCTTCATGGGATATGCTGTCCGGCCCCGTAGACTTCCGTGGTTCCCATTTGAGCGATACTACTCTCCAGCTTCCGCTCCGTCATCTCTAAGTCGGCTTTGTTGAAGATCTTCTTGAAATGTTGTTGAAGGTGATCGGGCCAATCTGGTGGATCCAGTAGTCGATGTTCCCAATGCCGAGGTTGGTTGAGGTGGTCGATGGCTCGCATGGCTTTCCAATTCATCTGGCTTGCCTGGTCGATGAGCTCTTTTTCCCAAAGCTTGTGCTCTTGTTTCCGGAGTTTTTGGACTTGTTTCCATGCTTGTTTCCTGGCCTGCCCCGGTGGTGTGCGGTGAGCTTCTCGTCGTAGTAGTTGGAGTGTCTCGCTTTCATGGAAGGTTATGCTGTCCGAATGGGGCTTCGTGATTGCAAGGCAGATGTTTTTCACCTGGGCATAATATGTGTTCCCCTCCGGCGTTTCCTGGAGGGCGGTGCCAATTTGGTCAGGGTCTTTTAGCACTCTGGGCCCCCAGGTGTGTTTCGTTTTGGGTTTTTTGCCAGAGGGGGGAATATCCGCTACGATGGGTTCATGATCCGATCTGGCAACATCCCTGATCTCTCCTACATATGCCGCGGACATGTGGTAGCCTTTCAGCCCCAGATAGTCCAATCTCCGTGGCATCATCGTCGGGTTGTAGGGGAAGTGTGATGGTGCTTCCATCTGTTGGGGTGGCAGTCTCAAATTTTGGGTGGTAAACCAGTCCAGGATGGTATTCCCCCTGGCTGTGGTAGCTGTGATTGTGTGGGGGCCATTCTTGAAGGTTTCATTGGCATCCAATCCCAGTATGCACTTGCTTTGATGGCACGCTCGGCTGCTTTCCCACTCGGAGAGTAGGGCCTCAGTGGCAGCGATTGTAGCATTCCACGGGATGTGCCCTGACAGGACTCCTAGTTGGTTGGTGGGTTGGCCTGCGAGGTGAAGGATGGTGGTGATTCCACCTGTGTGGAGCTCGGTGTGGTGGTGTGTACCGAGTGAAAGCTTGTATACAATGGCTGTACCTCTCCATTCATGCTCCCCTTTCCCATAAAGAATTTTCCATTGTTTGACCTCATCCATATGAATTCCAGCTGCACAAACAACTTCTTGCACCATCAGGATCCGGATGTCTTTTAAAGAATCCATCTCACTGAGGGTGTCGGCGAGCTCAAGGATTTGCACAGGTGTGAGCCCTCCCACATTCCAACTCATAACTTTGTAGTTGGGTAAAAGCCGCTTGTGGTGAGACTTCTCCTCCTCCCCCGCTCACAGTTCCTTCTTGATGTTGTTCCAGTGGGTTTCAGCTTCCTGTCCATCTTTACGTAGGAGGTTGGCGATGGTGGGGACGTCCACCCATCCAATTCCAGCTGTAGTGGCTCCTGTCTTCTGGGGTGTTGACGCCGAGGCTATTTTGGTGCCTTGCAGCCACACTGTTCCCGAGGCAAACTCTGCTTCCACTGTGTTCAGGGCCGCTCCCAACTCAAGTGCGAAACGTTTGACCTTTCCAGCCAACTTCGCCTTGGCCCTGCGTTGTGGGCTTTGGGACATCGCCATCCACATTTTTTGCGGTGTGCCATTCTCCCTTTCCCCGAGGGTGATGTTGGAGTCTTTGACCTTCTTAAGGGCGCGACGAACTCCTGCTTGTAGTTCCGGATCCTTGCTGTATTGCGACGGCAGTGGTATGATGACATAGCCCCTACGTATTCCCGGGACGAACGCCTCCTGCATGTTGATTTCTAGTTGGAGGGTAGCTGCGGCTTGTTGCGCTTTTTCCAATGTGGTACTCGCGGGTGTGTCTTCTGCCCACCCTCCCAGAATCAGAGCTGGTCGTTTGCCAGCTTCCGTTGTATCCGTGGTGGAGAGGGACGATGTTCCACTTCCGGATCCACTCCCTTGCCATCTTCCGAAGCGCCCCTCCAGTAAGCTGAGCCGGGTAGAGATGGTGAGGTAGTCGTTGGTAATGGTCATCATGGTGCTTTCTTGTTTCGATTGGTTTTCCTCCAAGCGTCGTAGGGAGTCCCCGTGGGCGGCATACTTGTCGGTGAGGTTGTGGAGCAACTGGAGTGTGTGTTCCAACTGAGAGGTGACGCTGTGTTCGACTTTCTCCACTCGGTCGATAGTGGCTTGGACTTCGGTGCGGACTTCTCCCAGGAATTCTTGCTTGAGCTCTCTTCTCTCATCCCGGAGCTCCCCCTTGATCACCTCACGGATGGCCTCAATCGTCAGCTCCCCGTCCCCCGCCAGTTTCCTTTTTGGGGTGGCTGCCTCCATATTCCACCAGGAAGTTCGCTGCAATGGGCTGCTTGCCAAGACTCGATCAAGTAGTAGGTCTTCTCCCTGGCGGGGAAGGCAAAGGGCTGGCTCGCACTCCCTCGGTTCTCAGGGTGTAGGCTCGCCGATATCCTTCAGGTTGGTGGTGACAGTGTCCTCCGCACACCTCAGCGGTTCACGCGGGTGATGGAGGCCAGCTGCGGTTGCCCTGCAGGTCCGATCTCACCGTATCCCCCGAGGACGGCGTCGGGCAGGTACACGCAAAGTTCAGCAAACAGGTAGATGTGGACGATCGCTGCACCGGTGCAGGGGAAGCGGAATCCCTCCCGCTGCTCTCTTTCTCACTCTCTCTTGTTTTGATTTTGGTTGAGGAGGCTCGGCCGACGGGGTGCCTCCTTGAGCACTCGCGGCTTGAGCCAAAATGGCTACTCTCTCTCTCTCTCTCTCTCTCTGTCCCTGTCACTGTCTGTGTCGGCCTCTGCCAGGGCTTAGAAGCTAGCTCTTCGCAGGATTGCAAGCCAAACCATGAGGTCTGACACAGCGACTGGGCTCATGGGCGCATGAAGGCCCCTAGAGTATGGGACACGCCTCGGGCAGGATGACTGGGCCTGCCCTGTGGCCCCAAGGGAATGTTCCCGAAGCCTGGACAGCCCCAAGAACCCAAAAAGGCCGCCGAGCGGCGCATATGCCACCGCCGTAAGTGAGAGACCTGACAGCATGGTCCAGCTGAAGTTTTTTGGGTGTCGAAGTTGAGTTCCAGAGAGTTGGGGGTTCACTGTGAACCGTCGTTTTGGAGCAGCTAGCATCTGAGAAGGTTTGCGCAGGCTGGTGATTCTTGATACACGCCCCTGACTTTTTTGGTAGGGTCCGGACCTCGCACCCGCAAGCTGTGCTCACGTGCAAGATGGAATGCTAAATACCAAATTTGGCCCTAAACCCTAAACCCTAAACCCGGTGGCCTAACCTTCCTTCCAATCCTGCAGACCAGTTCGCCCCAAAGCAAGGAGTTGGGCTTGATCCTAGGGGCCCCCTGCCCCTGCCCAAATCAGTTGATACATCAAAAGGTCAACACAAGTCAAGCGGGCATGGGATTCAAAAATCTTGCCCTGGCACCTGGGAAAAAAGTGCGTGAAAAGCAACAGGCTTACCTACATGAGCTATGATACCCTATAACCCCCTTATAAAGACCCTTTATGGGGTTGGTTAGGGGATTATAAGCCCTAATGGCCCATGCTTGTAAGAGTTGAGATTGCCAGGTCCGCCCACTCGCAGCAGTGCGTCGATCGGGTCAGGTTGATCATGCCTCGCAGAATGGGGGCAACCGATGCTAGACGGGCTTCCAAGCGATTTGGGGGGTGTTACGATAATTCATAAGGGACCCCTAAGATAGTCCCCAAAGTAGTAGGATCCCCTTGTAATAAGGACCCCAATAGGGTACCCCCTACTATCGTAATCCCCCATCTTGAGATTTTGAGGCATCCCAAACATTCCTCGACCCATCAAGCCAGGCAACTAAGGAAAGGTCCCATGCTGGGACGACTTGAAAAGAAGCTGGCCCTCTTTAGGTCGAGGCTGGTGCTTACTCGGTTCTTGCCTTATGGCTAAAAAATGATGGTGATTCCTATGTTGTCGTGTAGCATCATTTCCACCATGCCTGGACTTGGGGTCTTTTTCTGCCTTTGCGCTTCTTGTTTGGGAGGGGTTGAGTGGCGATGGCTTCCTGGGCCGTTCCAAGGACCCGCGAGACATCGCCCCCAGACGTGCAGTGAGCCCAGAAAACCTTGGGCCTCGGATCCCCCCCCCGAACGACTCAACAAAAAAATTCTGGCCAAAGCCTTCCCGGCAAGCGCAGTGCACAAAGGCGCTCAGCACCTGAAGGTGGGAGGGGATTGGGGTGGCACCTTAAGGTGGAAGGCGGAAGGGGATGGAGGTCTTCCTGGGCGTTCTTGCCATCCTGGCCATTAGGTGGTGCTGTTTCGGGAAATCTCCGAAGCTGGGAATCTCTCAGATAACCCAGATGAACTGAGGTCGCGCTGCCGAAAGAATAATGCGTGCGTTTTGCAAGAAGGCTCGGAAGACGTTGATGCGTGAGAAGAGTGGACGATACAGAACAAATGCTTTGGAAACCAGGAACGTGAGGAGACACGGGGATTCCTATGTAAGCTCTACTGTAGCTAAGAAACCCTCAGTTGCCTTAGATGGTGTTAGGGGAGTGGATGCGAGATTCTATGTCCCTTTCCAAATCATGTCGGAACTTGGACATTCGCGCACCTGCCGAGCGGGTGAGGTGGGGGAGCGGACCTCTGTCCTATGTAGCAGGGAACACACCCATAACACCCCAATTCATCGGTCCTTAGAAGGCCTAACTCAATATGACTTCAGAACTGCGACAACTCTACATACACCAGGCGCGTGAGACCTACCAGTACTCCCCGATTCCTGAGCCTGGCACGTTCCAATGGCTTGAATGCTTCGGCAGATCTTGCCTCGCAGCACCACACTCCATTTCGCATGCAGTACATCAGTACATGGTTTAGGGTTTAGGGTTGAAACCATTCAAGGCCTTCACAAGACAAACCTTGAACAACCTTGAGCCCTAACTACCCGAAAGACCCCTACAGTAGCCGCTGCTCAGGCTCTGGCCAGCAATGCCTCAGCTGGGTTTTGGGTTGTTGCAATGACACGTTTAGGCGGGGGAAGGGCGGGGGGGTATGACTTCGACTCTCGCGCTCGCACGTATGGGGCTTCGACTCCCACACTGGCACAAGCGCGCGAGACTCCAGGGTGGTAGCTCCATCGCACAAAGGCACCCGTCGGAGCCAGGTTTAGGAGTTTAGGGGCTTCGAAACTTGAGGATCGATTCTCGGAACCCACAATCTGACAATCTGACCTGTTGTGGGTCTTATATGCCCGCGATGTACCTTCCGAAGTAGAGGCTCTCGTCTCGTGCCAGGCGGCTTGTAGTTGGCCAGCGTGTTTTTCTGGGAGTAGAAGTCGGTCTCGTGGCCTAAGGCCAACCCCTTTTTGGGGGTTCTTAGAACAAGGATTCTACTATTTTGGGGCAGATTATAACCCCCAGCATCCCTGCTCCCGGCCCTTCTACCTACCTCCAGGGTTGTGTTTCCTTCTTTCTGCGCCCTTTGCCCAATCTCCTCTACCGCTTCGTCTGTCTGCCTCTTCTCATCCCTCTGCCCCTCCCTGCGTTTCCCTCGTCGGCAATATCAAATGGACAGATCAGGATAATCGTGTACTCTACACCTGGAAGCAATACTCACCAAATTGGTAGAATGCTTAGTTGAGATCTGAAGAGCACACCAGACCCTCTGACATCCCGCCCGCATTGCCATGTACAAGCGTAACCACAACCGCAAAATGCGAGTTCACCCTAAGCTACCTACGGACGTATATTCTGCTTCTGAAGCAGCGGAAGCAGCGGGAGCTGGCTCAAGCTTCTGTAGCTTGTCCGCAAGGCCGGAAGTTTCGCTTTAACTGTTTTGTGCTCTGTAGGTTCCGCGTGGCCCACCTTACAGTTGGGCCCTGCGAAGTGTTTTGGCTTTGCGGGTGGCTTGGACAAACCCCGCAGGATGCATGAAAGTTCAGTAACGAGAGCCGTGGAGGGGCTTAGGAATATTTTTGACCCCTCGCCACACGCGTCTCACTGCTTTCTGCACATACGCGTTGCCAGGCGATCGCCACCTTCTCAGTCCATGCCATCCAGATCCACCTTCGGCGCGCCGGTGTTCGCAAGCGCCTCCTGTTGAAGCGCCTGCTTCGCAGCCAAGCCTCTCCCCATCGCCTGAGCCTCGGCGCTCGCCTGGGCCAGGACCTGTCGTATTTCTCGCGCGAGGATGGGACGGTCCTCCCAGCAAAGGAGGGAGGGCGAAGGCTGGAGGCCTCCTGCAAAGAGAGCCTCCTCACAACAGCACGAAGCATTGGCAAAGTTGCCAAAATAGAGCTCCAGCTTCGCCAGTCTTGCGAGGCTCAGGGAAACAACCGGCCAGTTGACCGGGAAGATGTGGCGGGCCGTGGAAGAGACAGCTCTTGCGAAGACCAGGGCTTCTTGCCATCGCTCGGATGCAACAAACGCATCCATCAGTTCGCGGGCTAAAGTCCATCGCAGGATGTGTCCTTCGCCCAGGCGAAAGTGCTGACCTGATGTAGCCTCCTGCCAGGCTGACAGCAGAAGTTGAACGTCTTCACCGTTGGCTCTTGCCTGTGATCGAAGATCGCTCACCTTCCGAACCAAGGCCGTCGCTGCACTGCCAAGATCCTGGACTCCAGACTCTGCATCCCACCCCACCCCACGCTCTGCCGGAGACCATTCCGGTGGCACAAGGATGGCGCTGAGCACAGCATCACGCTGCTCCGCCTGAGGCTGCAGGTGCGGTCGGAAGTGATAGTGCTGAGACAGGAAGTCGTGTCGGGTCTTGCTCATCTCTGCGAGCTCTGCATACGTGATGCACAGCTCGTCGCCCGCATTCACCGCTTTGCATGTGCGAACCTTGAGCTGACGCCCAACAAAGCTCTGGATACAGTTGGGCTCCTCATCGTGATTGAAGACAGCGCCTTGAAGGTAAAGCCCCAGACCAAGGTCCCTCTGCTCCTCATCAGTCACGGTCATGGCGTTGACATCTAAGGCAGCAAGGAAATGGGCAACATCGCTGATGTTCGCTATGGCCTGAAACTGCTGCACTTCGGTCGCACCAGGGTTCGCCTGATTCTGAAGCAGCCCGAGGCCTGCAGCAAGCATGTCCAAGCACCGCGCAGCATGCTGCTCCAGCTCTCTGTGGCGAGGTTCGGTCAGCTCATCCCAGTGGCTTTCGAGCTGCTGCCACGGTTGCTCTCCATGAGCAGCTCCTCGCTGCAGAGCTCGCACAGCCAAGCGGAGGGTGGTTGGCCACCCCCGCAACGGGAAGGTGTCTGCATGCCCCGAACCAGCTGCCGCGGCTGCGGCCTTCACCTCCGCCTCGTAGTACAAGTCCTTGGCAGCCCTCTGATTCTCCTTGGACGCAAAACGCAATCCTGTTGCCCGACAGTGCAGTAGCTTGCCATCAGTGCTGAGGTCAAAATCACAGCGCTGGTGCTGCTCTTCCGGCAGCAGGACCAAAGCCCAGGGTTGCTCAATCAGAACCACCTCACCAGCAGCCAATGCGCGAGATGCGATCACAGAGCGTCCTCTGCCTGGCAGGCGCTTCGTCTTGAAAGCCGGCTCACAGCACATGGGTGTCTCCGAGTCTCCCATGATAGCCATGCCGATGCTCAGCCCCGCGCCTCGTTGGCTTGAGGTTCCGTCATCACCTACCACTACCAACGACGATGCTAGTCGCTGTTCAATTTTCGGGCTTTCTCGCAAGTGTAGATTGCGTTCGGAAGGCTGTGATTGGACCAGGTCATGGAGCACTGGTGATGGTGGTGGATGCACGCTTAAGCGGGGACACGCTTGAGCCATGGGTTTGGGGTTTAGGATCCAGGGTGAACTGTGTCGACGATGCATGGTAGTGTCTCAGTAAAGGACGGCAGAAATGGCACTACCCCTTTTGCCACTGGACTAAAAGGCTAGCCAGAACCCAGACTACCCTAAACCCTACACCCTAAAACCCTAAAACCCTAAACCCCCACTTGGACATGCATCCCGGGCCAGCGAGGCCAGAGGCTACAGCTGAAGGCTGAACGAAGAGTCTCTAGAACGTGGGAATGAGGGACTTAGGGCCCCATATCTATATATATATATATATGTACCCTTTAAGGGATTCTTCAAGGGATTATATATACCCTTTAAGGGATCATAAAGGGCATCTCATTCCCCCATTCCCTACTAACCAGCAGTAAGACTCGGGTCGGCGCAGGTCCGATCCAGCCTCAGGAGAGCAGGAGGGCATTGCAATGATGCATGCGCCCAATCTGCTAGTAGGGTTTAGGGTTTAGGGTTTAGGGTTTAGGGTTTAGGGTTTAGGGTTTAGGGTTTAGGGTTTAGGGTTCCCAGAACTGACGGAACAAGCACGACAACTCAACTCAGTCCTCAAAGTTGGATTTGGGGCTTCGAAGCATTTTTGGAGTTTAGGGTTCAGGGCTACTCTTAAGGATAATTATAGGGTTTACATAGGGCTTCCGGGTTCCACTGGGCAGTCCCGATAAGACAGGCGCAGGTTCGAACTCTAAACCCCCCTGCAATGATTGAAAACGAATAAACACTGAGCCGGTGAAGCTTCTGGGTCTCCAGGCTCGCCAGATATCACCTGGCCCTCTGCATGGCGAGTAATGCCTGAGACGCTGGAAACGCGCACTCGGGGTCTTCAGGGGGCTATTTGGCCCTTTTTTGGCCTGAGGTGGAGAGCTCGGCTTGGTACGACATGCTTTGTACGCCCACCCAGGCCCTTCCCAGTGACCCTTTGCAACAGGCTTCATACTTCACCTGGGGTCTGCTCCCACATCACTTGTAGCATGGGGAACCTTGATGCTCCGGATTTTGGAACACACGAATCTTTACACTGTACACAATGTCTCATACGTGCGACTACTAGCTACAGCGTCTCCTGCGTCTCTGCAAGACTCGCTGTGATGCGATCATCTCTTCGTTGTTGTTTCTGCATCCGCCTGCGGGCAGCATGAGCCGCCTTCAAGTCCTGCAAAGAAGATCCTGCTGTTCTGGGCACATCCACATGCTCGGACCGTGGCTGGGGTGGCAAAGATATTTCCTCCTCCCTGAAATTGGTTTCCCTTGCATGCAGAGAAGGTCCCACCGAAAAAGTACTTGCCCATGCCTGCTCCATCCCTCTCTGTTTCTCTTCCAGATATGCGATGGACTGCTTGGCAGAAAGAGTCGGTGCTTCCAGTTGCTGCTCCAGGGCCATCAACTTTCCTGTTAAGTCAGCGATAGATGCGTGAGCAGACTTCACGATGGAGTCCGTCCATGCACGAATCTCCGTCTCCGTATAACTCTTTTCATCAGTCTGTGAGCTTTGGGCCTTGTTTGGAGCAACTCCTTGGGTCGAGTTGTCGTCCGTCGTCACTGATGGCGTTGGGATCCAACAATTGCTCTCATCCTCAAACCCCAGAGACTGAAACAAATTGATGCGCCTCCTGTCATCACACCATTTTGGCGTTGCAAGGTCATGAAGGACACGTGTCAGACTGCAGGAAATCTCGTTGTAGCCAAGCTTCGAGGAGAGTCGTTTGGAGTACGCCACACATGAAGTAAGCCGCTTGTTGATCTTAATTTCCATTGCAAGCAAAGCAGATTGAATTTCAGGATTGTGCTCACTAGAGCCTCGTAGCCAAACCTTGAGCCATAGCCACCCTAAACCCTAAACCGTAACCCTAAACCCTAAACCCTTTTAAGCACGGACTGAGGAGGCTGCCGGCAACACCTGAAAGCAGGGCCTTCTTGCCTTTAGCAAGGGTTGCATCAACAGGCGAAACTGAGGGTATCTATCACTGGGACGTATACACTATGGGAGCACTGAGTTTACGTATAAGTGAAGTCTGCGAATCATCGATAATCTCAAGGGGTGGCAGTTAAACCCTAAAAAACCCTAACCCTAAACCCTAAAAACTAAACCCTAAACCCTACACCCTAAACCGCCCGTGATCTCTCCCAGGCCGCCGGCAGCGCATCACAGGAAAGCACTTGGTGCTGTTGCAGCCTCGGGAGGGGTTCGCGGACTTCGCAAAACTGGCCCGGAATAGGGGCCTTATAGGGTTTAGTCGCTCACTCTCGCACAAGGCAGGCAAGGTCGGGTTTGGGTTTCTGCACGCCGCTGAACCGTGGTTCTTCCCGCGAGAAAAGAAGCAAAATGAAAAATATAAATAGGAACCAACATCAACAATGCTGGTAGCAGTCTTAATCTAGTGAGTAGCATCACTAATGACAACAACAATCCCCGGAAGCCTAGTGGAAGACCGTTCGATATCACAGGGCTAAATGTTCTTGGCAGGCCACGGGCTTTAGTGATCTTTGCCTGCATTCGGGCTCGTAGATCCAATTGGCTAGGGATTGACCGGTTGATGAGAGCAATGGCCTCATAAGTGCTCGACATTCCCGTGCCCACAGGCATGACACACGCATGCCACGTCTCTAGCGGAGCTTCACCGTCTCTGTCACACACAGACACACACAGACACACACACACACACACACACACACAGACACACACACACACACACACACACACACACACACAGACAGACACAGAGAGAGTACCATGTTGCCTCTGGATCGTAAAGTCGTTCAGGCCAAAGCATCCCAAAGCAACAGACTTTCAAAATCACACGAGATGAGCGCCTGGCGCGTGCACAAGTCTCTATCTACGATGTACTCCTGCGCCTGTACATCAGGATCAGCCAGCCCGGCCCTAATGAAAACCCTCACGGCAGCATAGGGTCTATTCAGATGGCGGCGTGCAAAGAGATTCGGCTTAATTGAGTGCCAACGTGGGTCAAGGCATGACTCTAGACCTACCAGGGTCCCCCTGAAGGGCATTCCATGACACAACACGCACCACATTACAAAGAACACGCGAGGGCATCTGGTTGTCGCTAGAAAGCTAGCTTTGGTAAATCAAGCGCACTCTCCGACTTAGAAGTCTGACGCGGACGTGCCTCGAAACACATGGCTGGGCACTCCTTGCATGCCGGCTGAGGCACAGTTCTATTTAGGGTTTAGGGATGTTTAGGGTTTAGGGTTTAGGTCTGCTTACGAGGGAAACGTGTGTCGAAGATTGCGGCCCCTCAACATCTCCTCAGCAAACCCCGAAACATGAACACCCTCATCACACAGCAAACTCAACGCCCTTAGCACCTAAAGCTCCCCTCAGTCTTGTTTTGAAGCAGAGTAGCCGAAGCTGTGAGCCTTCGGCCCACTCTCGTGCCCGCATCACGACTCCCGGGCACTCGCTGAAAGCTCAAGTCCCTAAACCCAAATCCGGCGAGCTGCATGGGCGCCCTGGTTTGGGTTGCCTCGTTACAGACGCCCAGGTCGAGGCGGGTCGCGTAGCGTTAAAATTAAGCTCCCAATCTGAATCCCCCCGCCCCTCCCGCAAAACTCAACTCACTCTCACAATCCTAAATTGACTTCGGCTCCAGCTACGCCACGCAGCTCCTCGATACACTGCGTAGCCAGGGTGGCGCTGCAGTCTGGGTTGCAGTCCTCCGGAGCTAGGTTTTCCGGCTGAGGCGAGAACTTTTGGGCGTCGTAGAAGTTAGGCAAGCATGTGAGGCACAACCCTGCTCGAACACAAGAACGTGTGAATTCAGATTCACTGGAGCTTGGTCAAGGGCCTGGGTTTCACGAGCTTCGGCAAAGGATCAAGAACCCCGCGGCGAGTTCGAGTTTTTGCATCTTCAGGTCAGCCTTGAGGCCTAATTCATGTCGACGTTAGGGGCTATGTAAGGCAGCCCCAGGGAAAGCTCGAAGAGGTAAGCGCTTAGGCTTAGGATCCAAAATGCTGGTGGTGCCAAACCTTTCATGTCTAGTGTTACAGCTTCCAGTGCTCGTACTTGTGGTTCAGGTCCTGGGCTTATTTCGGCCCCTTTCTGGGTGGGGGGGCGGGGTTGGGCTAGGGGCTTGGCTCCTGTGATTGGGGGTCGCAAGGTATGAACTGCCCAAACCCTGCGTGCGGGCATCCCCAGCTTAACCCAGTCTGGCACCGTTTAGATGCTGCAATGCCATCTGGCTATGGGTTGCCCAGAATCCATGAATGCCTGCAACCCTGTCTTCCAAAGCAGCCATGCAAAGTGTGCAAAGGGTCCTATAACGGATATATATATATATATATATACATATATCTATATATATATATATGATTTGAACAATCGTGACTTTGCTAAGTCCCGGACCACGGTGCACCACTGCTTGAAACTCCGATGCGAGCAGCAACCAATGTCCGTGATAGCCTTCCGCCAGATGTAGGAGAAGCAACAGGACTTAAGGTGTTTTCTTAGCAAGGCCATGTCGTGCATCTGTGCCGTGTCGAAGCTCCAGGCACTCTCTCCTTTGTGCACGTGGCGAGGAGCTGCCGGCCCCGGGGTTTCTCTATATTGGGCTTCTTTTCCCGCGCTGCAAGGCCCCCCCGCTGTGAGAGAACTTGAGCTTGGTTTGCCTAGAGCCCACGTGCTTCAGCAACCTTTCCCACCACGTCCGCGCCGATTCCTCAACAGCCCAAGTTTGGGAAAGGCAAAAAAAGGCGGATACAAAAAACGATGCCTTGGGCACATGAACCCTAGAAGGGTTTCTATCTTAATAGGGCAGGGTAGATGACCCCAATTTTCGTGCTGTTTTGAGGGAGAGGGGGTTCAGATGCACTGTGAGGAGGGGGCCGCCTTGCTGGCTCAAACTCAAGCTGCGCAGCATTTCGTGCCTCGGTCATGTTCCCGGCGCACCTTGGAACTTTGCGCGATCACTTGGCTGCACTCAGGAGGGTAGCTAAACATTAAACATTTAGCTGCTTCATTAAGAAACCCAATTAACCCAAAAGGGTAAGGATCTAAAGTTACAGTAAAGTACCACAAAGATCACAGAAGAGCCACGGTGGAACATGGCTTCACTGACGAACATCGTTCGCCGTTCTAGCTACTCCTTAAAGAGTGACCATGGCATTCTTTGAGAACGGAGCCAGCAGTCAAGCCATGCATCTAGCTCTGCAGCGGGGATGCTCCAGTCCTGGGACGCGTCAAGCACGCGGCTGGAAATAGCCATCAGGATGCTCCAACCCAGGATTCAAGGAATAAGGAATCGAGGTTCAACTGTCCGATTTCCAGGCTGCGGGGGCGGGGAAGGCTTTCGAAGAAGCCAAGAAGTCTCTACTCGAACTGGGAGCTCTCAGGCTGGCAGCTGGACTACAGGTTGGCAAACTTCACGGCCACTGCCGAGCGGAAAGGTCAGGAACTCGGATGAGGATCGGGCGTGTGTGGTGTTTGAAGCCATCTTCTTCCGCAAACACCTGCAGGACGGCATCAAAGAATATCAAGAACACATAGGGTTCGATTCACCACTCGGATGAAGCAGGCGGACGACGAAGCAACACTTGGCACATACCTTCTTTTGGGTGAACATGTGGGGCCGTGGGGCTGTGGGAGTCTTCGGCAGCTACACAGCTCGAGGAGCACACTCTAACTTGCACAGGTTGCACCGGACCACAACCCGTCCCGCGGCAAGACTTTCAAGCACGCAAGACGTGGAATCGCCATTTTACTCGGGATGTGTCAGTGGCCTGTCGTATTCGGTCAGCGAGGGCGTCGGAAGAATTCGCACAGCACGGAGTTCGCACCTTGTGAGGAAACATGATCCGCGCCCAATGCTCAATGCTGGAATCCCTTCCAACTCTTTAAGCAAGGAGCCCTCAAGAAATTCATTTGCTTCCTGGTCTCTGCACGAAGCTGGGTTTAGGATCTGCCTTCCCGGGCTTACCGTTTGCGATATGCGCTCGTAGATGATACACTGGTGCAGGCTCCCTCTTGCCACCGTGTGAAACTCAAAGCATGCCGAAGAGTCGCGTCTGATTGTTTGCCCCACGCTCCCACGCACCGTTCGAATTGCCCCCCCCCAATCCAACTTTCAAGAAGATTGCAAGAAGGGCTTTTTCGCCCGAAAGCATAGTAAATCTGTACGCTTAAAGCCCCGCAAAGGAGAAACACAGCAGTCTCAGCGCCGCGGCTGGTCCGCGCTTCCTGCTTGCAAAGCTCATGAGCGGTTGAGTTTGAACAAAGAATCTGTTAACAGTCTCAGTGGGCTTGAAGTGAGTCAAAAAAACTTGAGCCAAGATGTGTCTACGGGCTACGGTCTCCCCTCTCCCTCTCCTCTCTCCCCCTCTCCCTCTCTCTGCTCGCATGATGGCCACCCCGAAGGCAAGCCGCCCCGCCCGCGGTTTTCATGGGCTCATGGGCTTATGGCCCGTGTGGCCGTTTTCAGCGCCTGCTCCAGATCTCATCTCAGGGTTTAGCTAGCACAGTAGGAGTCTCGTACCATGCACCGGAGTACGACTGGAGAATAGGGTTGAGGGTTCCTGTTCCCAACATCGCGGCAAACGTCCGGGCACTGAGGAAGCAAAAGGAGTGAACAAACGTTCGGGGGCGGTTCTTGGGCCTTCCTCCCTCGCTGTGACCTTCGTGGTCAAGGATTCATCTGCACCCTAAACCCTAAACCCTATGCACTGGGCAACGTGTAGCTTTTGCTTTTTTTGTCTCGGCTCTTCAGACTCATGGAGGCACAACTTCTCAAAGCCTTCAGAATATGTGCAGGCAAGGCTGTTTCTCATATGGGCGTTTCCCAAACTTTAAGGGCACCCCTTTTAACCCCGAATAGAATAGAATCCCTTGAAGGGTACCTATTTTCGGAAACCCAAGGCCCTCGTTCCTTCTTAGCAACCGCGGTCCTTGCAGCCTTCGGAGGTTGCCATGTGCACCTGACAATGGCAGCTGGCAACAGTGAAGAAGGGGCTTCCTATTTAGGGTTTTGGGTTAGGGTTCAGGGTTTAAAAAGTTTAGGGGTTCATGGTACTTATTGGGCTTATAAGTGGGTTAAGTACAGTTATAATTGGTTCATAAGTACCGTGAACCTCCAAGTACTATAGCGCCCCCCCCCCCCTCTCCCCACCGACATCCCCCCTTTAAGATGTTTGGGGTTCAGAGTACCGCCCATTTCCTCGGGTTGGGGTGGTGGGGTTTTGGGTTTAGGGTTTCAGGGAAAGGTTCTGAAAAAGGCTCCACTCCTCCCTCCGCTGGTGAATTGACTGAACCTCCCTCGTAAGACACAAACTCGGAATCCGTTCCCCTCCCCCCTCGCTCTGGCAGCTGCCTCCTTCAGCTACATGATGCCACGCCGCCTGGGTTAGCTGGGACACCGTGTTTCAGGACTCGGGAACCCGCCCTGCAGGAATCAGGCGTTGGTGTCGAGGCGGCCAATAACAAGGGGGCAAGGATATCCTTCTTTGCCTTACCCCCATAGCTCGGAACAACGTGCCCCTTAGAATGTAGAAAAATCGGCCCTACTGGCAGCACGAGCCAACGACTGAGCTCAGCCCTCGAACGCGAAAGATGCTGCTGAGGCCTGGGCCAACACGGCGAAACCAAAAAGTCCCATGGGTCGCGCCATCCTCATCGACAAACCATGCAGGACTGCTTGCTTCCGAGGGGTGTTACGGGCATACTAGGTTTTAGAGTTTAGTAGGCTTTCGGTTTTATATATTACCTGGGCCATCAGCCGAATCAACAGTGCTCGTCGTCATCTGCTCGAGTCCTTCAACCCAAGAACGTGCAACCGGCAAGACTCCGAGCTTACAAGGGCAACGTCGTCAGCAACCCTTCCAGTCTTGTCGGGCATAGACAAGCCTGCAACCTGCAACCTCTCCACGATGAAGAGGAAGATGGCCATCGTGCTGGACGACACGATGGAAACTATACCAGACTCGGCCTTGAGTCTAGCTGACCCGACCCAAAAACTTCAACTGTCGAGATGAACCAAAATTAACTCAATTCCTGAAAAGCACCCGGCCGAACTTCTGCGCTTTTTCCCTGACTCTCCCAGCACCTGTACAGTGGACCCGCGTGCCTCGCGCTGTACAGTTGAGGCTTTGGCCATTCAAGTGGTAAGGATGAACTCAAACCACCGCTGCCGAAGGCTCCCTCAACAACTACCCACATGTACTTCTGCATGAGGGAACACTGAAGGAACAACTTGCCCTCAACCTGAAAAAAAACCCTAAGCCCTCACGACCATGGAGAGTCAAATGCCAACCCTCGCCCAGCCATCCCAGTAAGCCCGAGCAAGGCCAGCAGAAACAGCCGCGAGACGCGAATTGTCCCCAGAGCCTTCATGCGCAGGTATTCTCCGGTTTGCGCAGATCCTCCTTTCTTGCAAACAACCGCAAAAAACTAAATAAACTTTAAAAAACAAAACGTTACCATCTACGCTGGCTCTGCTCAGCAGAGGCTGCACCCAAGTACGGATAGCAGTGTAATCCGGTAGCAGATGCTATTCTATTGCTGTGGCTTGCGATACCGTACTGAATGAACTGCACTTCAGAGCTGATGGGGTCGCCTCTGAAGTCTAGATGCTTTTCGGTACAAGATCCATATAAACTGTTAAATAATTAAATCCCGGCTTGCTCGGACCGTGAGACCCATCCCAACAATCCCAGAGCCCATGCAGGAGACGCCCTAACATTTTTGAGGAAAGGCTCAAACCTCATGCTTTCTAGCCACTCACCCGCGCGCGCGCAAATTCTGCCGCCAGCCATCCACCAGGCCACGGGCCAGCCTGAAATCTAGGCCCTGAACCCTACGACCCGAACACCCTTAAGATTCTGCTGCTGGCCTGCTGTCGGCCTTTCGGCGTGTCAGGGGGGGGGGGGGGGGTTGGGGTTGCCGTTTGGTGCGTGCGGTGTCTTGCGACTGAGGTAGAAAAATCCCTGGTGGAAGGCTTTGGAATCCTCCTGCCACAACAGCACACCATCTCACGTGAACAAGACCCCCCACCTGGCAATCGCTTCTGAGCCTTGGATGGGCACTCTGGGACCAGGGTTTAGGGCTCTTGGGGATTTAGGGTTTAGGGTTTAGGGTTTAGGGTTGTTGGTTCCAGTGCATAGGCCGAGGCTTTGGGCATATACTCCCCCACAGCTCGGATGCACATGCGCGGCCACTGACAGACAAACTGGCTACCACGTTGAACAGCAAAAAGGAAGCCGTGAGCCGCAACCTGCCCAAGCGTTGAAGATTGCGATTGAACTCTCGCGTGAGGGCACGTCCCTGTGCAAAGTCTGAAAAAGTCATGATCCTCGAACCCTCCCAGAATCAGACACCGGCAACAAGCACCTGACTCCCCAAGCCTCTAGACTCGAAATCCGAAATCCTGGCTCCCCATGCTATCCACGCCGAAAGTCGGTGCTGTTGCCAGAATGCCTTCGCTAGCTCCCGGCCTCAGTGACGCAGGGTTCTTAGGGTTTCGGGTTTAGGGTTTAGGGTTTTGGGTGAGGGGCGTTTATGGGGGGCAGGGACCTAGGACCTAGAAAGCCTTAGGGAAGCTTAATGAGCCTTAGGGAGTAGATGGAGTAGTTGGGAGTCCTAGGGAGTAGTAGGGAACCTTGGGTTACGTGCTGAACCCCCCTCCCTTCAGAACAACCCCTGAAGGCCCCAAACCCGGAACCAAGGAGCTGCTCAACCCCAGGGCCTTCGGGACTCAGCCTCCTAAGGCCTAAGGCGTGAAGACTCCGGGGGCTAAAAAATCGCATGCCCCAATCTACTGTCATTCAAAAAAACACGGTTACTAAAAAACATAGTTCAACAACATTTGCTTCATTTTCTAACCTCGAACCCTGCTCCGCCGCGACGGGGAAGCGTAGCTAAGCCCCAGAGTCAGCCAATCTCAGCCTTGCCCAGACCAAGTGGCCAATGCCCGTGGCCTTCAGCTCCGCTTTGCCAATCTCTTGGCAGCCTGAAGCATCGGAGTCCTACGGGTCCTACGAATCTCCCCAGGAGCTCGGGATGGATCTCAAGATTTATCGATTTGGTTCCTCAGGGTTTGGGGAGGTGCCGGCCGGGCTGGGGGCCAACAAGGATGCCTAAGAGGTGGCTGGTGGTTGCTACGACGTGATCATCATCGCAGAAGAGACGCTTCCAAGGCAGATGAGCTTGGTTGTCCAACGACCGGGGGGGCCTCCCACATCCTACATTTGCTAACAACACGCGGTGACACCGACGGAACCCCAATCTTCCCCAAAGCAACCTGCAGGACTCCCAAAGCATTCGTAAGCCGGGCCGCTCAAAGCGTTCAGGACACCCAGCGCCTTTTCAAAGACACAGCTCAGGGTTGAGGATTCGAGGGCACGGGGGGCTGCACAAAAAAAAACAGGTTTGGGAGACAACCCTGTGCTGCACAACATGGTGGTGCCGTCATTTGCAGCAGACCTCGTGGGCAGCCTCTTCGTCGGGCGCATTCTGCGGTGACTGGCGCAGCACGGCCATGCACGCCTAACAAGTTTCCACAGGGATGATTTCTGAGGCCATCCCGCAATGCTTTTCGTGTACTTCGCTTACGGCGACTGAGACTATGGAGGTAACATGTTCATACGTGATGGCTATTCTCTGGCCTCTGGTATTCAACAGAAGCTGGAAAAAGAGCGAATGGAACTGTGCTTGACTGAACTCGGTACCCCTTACGCTTCCATACCTCTCTCTCTCTCGCAGACTCGGGAATCCGTCAGCTGCCGTCTGCAGCCCGATACCTAAACTAGTTAAACCTATTTAAACAAGTCACTCGTGTGACTCATGTGTGCGCGCTTGCTCATGCCTTGCCAGTATGACCCATAGCTACGTTGACCATGGAGGAGTAGTCCTGGTTGATGGCCGAGAATGGTTTCAATGTATATGTAACCGGGATAGGTACGGATGAGGCCATAGAAGAATGGATCAGTAATTCACTGGATGGACGCCAACGGAGAACGACCATTGACATGAGCCACACAACCGCGGGCCGTGATCTAGAACCTCACATGAGCTGCAAAAAGAGGCTGATCACCCTCCACCGGTGCTTCGTTTGACCCAGGGTAGTTTCGCAGCATTGCGGGCAGTGTCGAGTTTGGGCCTTTGGGGTTGACACACTGTGCAGCCAAGCTTCCGCATACGCGCGGATCTGCGTGAGCCCCGCCTGCAAAGCTGCACAGGATTCGAAAAGTTGAAAGCATCAAAACCTGTGGAAAACACGATGAGCCTGTACGATTGCTACCATCCCATGGTCGGATTGTTTTTTTCCATAGCCTCAACCCCGTAAGCTTGATTCATCCTCAAGGGCCCTTGTTAACAGCCCCACGATGGCCTCTGGTGCCTTGATTGGCCGTAGGCTACGGGCTTGCCTCGGACGCACTGCTCACTTGGGGCAAGGGGGTGTGGTCGTTTCGGTTGAATCCAGTGTGGTTCGGCAGGAACTCCATAATGAGCGCGGGTGCAGAGCCACAAAACACCGCGCCAGATGCTGTCAGACGCTCTGAAACGCCAAACGATCGTTTGCCTCTGCAGCCGAGCATCGCACCCACAGCCTGCGCCTGTTCAGGTTGGCCTGGGGCAGCTTTGGGAGAACAAGCATCCGCAGGTTTCAAGGGCAGATTGGGGGTTTTCTTTGCAGCCCGCCTAGCTGAACAGTACGTCCAGATTGGGGTTAAGGCCTTGGGTTTGGCATATCTGCAGTGGCGCAAGGGTCGGCGTTTGTCACGGAAACTTCGGGGCCGTTCAGGGCTGCTCTCCCGCGCACAAAGCCCTAGAGCCCTCTGTCTCTCTCTCTCGCAGACTCGGGAGTCAGCTGCCGTCTGCTGCCCGATAGGCAATGCTCTCCGAGCAACGCCCCACCGCCCATGTTAAGCAGTGCAATCTAACTGCAGACCACAAATAGTGTTAACCCACGACTCAGGAATCAGCCCTGAAGCCCTGAAGCCCTAAAACCCTAAACCCAAAAAACCCCAAACCCGAAAACCCCAAAATTGCTTCCCAGCCCGTGGCGCCTGGCGCGGATTGCCCGCGCTGGGCCCGGAGCCGGCGGCGCTTCGCGCAGCGCTCCTCGACTCTCGTATTCAGGCTTTGCTCTACTCGTCTTCTAGTGTACTAGTGTAGAGAACCTTAAGAAACATAATATTCCTGTTATTCCCATGGGTTTTGTATGAAAAAAACACATAAGGGGGCTCTAATCTAGTTTTCGGGTTTCTTGCCACCCCGCACTGCCCATGGGGTTTACAGGGGTTTATGCTTGATACTGAGACACCGCCACATGGAATTGAGAGGGCTGTCGAAGGCTTATGTATCCGACAATATTGGGGTGTATTGGGGGTCCTTTATGGTTTGAAGGCTTTCGGGACTGAAGTCTTTGCTACAAACTCTCTGCATCATGGGCTTGTAAAGATACGGAAAAAGCTGTGATACGAGACTCAAGAGCAGCTTCGGAAAGCTGCGAAACAAAAAAAAAAGTGCCAGAGGCTTGAGCCAAGGCCTGGGAGGCCCTCCTGACTCTGCTCGAGGGTTTAGGGTTTAGGGTTTGACTAGGGTGTAATTAGGGTTTAGGGTTTAGGGTTTCGGGTTTATGTTTAGGGTTTAGGGTTTAGGAGAACTTCTGAATTTCCTCCTAAAACCTAAACCCCCAGTGCCTGCTGAGCGCGCGGGTACGAGACTAGTGACTGGAAGAGTGAGACTCCACCTGCAAAGCTTCCAGACTCATCCAGGGAACGCAAAAAGGAAAAGTGGGCAGTTCCGTGAAGCGAGGTCCTGATGTTCGCAACAAGCCATCCGACCATTGAGAGGCTTAGGGATGATGTGAAGTAGGGTATATATTTCTTGTACCCCCAAAAGGACACCCAACACATACACTCACCAATATTAAAAAGGAACCTTATATACACTCACCAAGAACAGAGACTAGGATGGCCCTTAAAACCCTCTGAAAAATATTCCTGAATATGATCCTCTTAAACCCAAGAAGGGAAAATATAACATGTCCCAAAGGCCTACCTAGGAAATATAAACCCTGCTTCATGTGAAGACACGCCAGAAAACGCGTCCTTGATGGCCTCGCGCACCTGCTGCAGCATGACCCGGAACCACTACCTGGACCCCCAAAAGTATGTAAAAAAAACAGCCCAAAAAACCCTTAAGAGGCTATTATTTTACATATTTTGGGGGTTGACGTAAAGCCTCCAAACCCATCGGCTCTTTCCCAAACATTCTGCACTCCGAAGCTTCCAGCCCCTCATGCCCACGTAGCCCGACTCGGCCACAAAACTTGCCTCTGTCACAGGAGCAGAACCCTAAACCCCAAGAGTCGGTACACCCAACCTGGACGGAAGGCCCTCGAAACTCCACTCCAACCCCCCAATCATGGCCTCCAGTTCTTGGAGAACCCCCGACAAGGTCCGCTGGCTACCGTCCGCACTATGCAGTGCAGCTACCTCAAGGCACCTTCGGGCTGAGAGGGTTTATAGGGGGGTCTGAGGCTCGGCTGCTAAGCAGTTTTGGGGGGAGTTGGGCTTCGGAAATTGAGGGTCTTCCATGTTTGGGGGTGGGTGGGTGAGTGGGTTTCTTGTGTATATCGGGCTAAGGGCTGGGGGTCACGAATTAAGCACCCTCCACTGCAAAAACGATGAGCAGCCACCTGCTGGCGTCTCCCTGATAGGACTTTGGCTCCTCGAAATACTCCTGCACACCGCAGCGCAAACAAAATAGTACATCCGACCCATTGAACAACTTGGAAGTCGTGCTCCAGCACGTCTAGGAGCCTGCGTTGCGCTGATGCTGGTGCCCATGAAACTGAAGGTCCAGCACAGACCCTGATACTTTGTAAGTGAGTCTGACGCCCCAACCTCCCAAAGCTTGTTGTACTCATTCTTGTAGAGCCCGCGTCCTCCCTCGGATGGTGATCAAACTCGAACTGGCTGGCACTTTGCTGGCAGCATCGCTTCCGATCTGCGACGCCCAGACCTTCTGCGTACCTGCAGCCGCAGTTGCCCGGACATGTCAGCAGCCTTCTGATGTCTCAGAGTATCTACGTCAATGTGGCCATCTGCTGTAGAACTAAAGTGATGGTACTGTGGTGCTGTTCTGCAGTTTCGTGCATCATTGCACGAATTCGACAGCACTTGTCCAAGGTTCGCTTCGCCTCTTCGTGCCGCGAGACGCATGGCTCGTATCGAATGCGAGGAATGTGCGGTGAACCATGGTGAACCCGCGTACGCGCCCGATCCTAAACCCTGACCTGGACTCGGGCGCAAACCCAAACAAACCCAAAAACCCTGAGCTCTTCAAGAAACAAATCGGCTCTTAGGCAGCTGCTCGTTCGCCTCGCTGCCGGCGCTGTCGCTGTCCGAGTCCTCCTGCCGGCAAAATTTCCAGCCCTAAGCCCAGGTCAACCTCAGGGCCCTTCTGAGACCCCTGGATCCCACAATTCCCCACAGCTACCCTTAAACCCCTACACCCAACTTTTTGCTTCAGGTCTTTCGGGGGCGTCCCCCCCTCTCCTTAGACCGCGGCACCCTAAACCCCTATAACCTCTAAACCCGAAACCCCTAAACTCCTATACCCTAAACCCCTAAACCCCTAAACCCCTAAACCTCTAAACCCCTAAACTCCTATGCCCTAAACCTCTAAACCCTAAACCCCTAAACCCCTAAACCCCTAAACTGTCCCTTAAACCATCGAAGCCCGAGCCCAAGCCTCGGATCTCTGCGTGCCCTCTGAGTCGGACCAGTCCGCCCGGCGCTTCTGCGGGCCCAGCACGCGGCTCCTGGGGGGTGGGGGGTTTAGGGTTTAGGGTTTTTATTTTTAGGGTTTAGGTTTTTAGGGTTTAGGGTTTAGGGTTTAGGGTTTAGGGTTTAGGGTTTAGGGTTTAGGGGGGGGGGGGGGGGGGGGGGGACGGGGATCCTAGCTGCCGTCGCTGCTTTTGGGCACGCTTCTAGGGCTCCAAAACGGGAGTGTGCGGGGCATTGCACTCGGGTGAAGTTGCAAAGAGGCCGTGGCTGAAGGTAGCCTAAACCCTAAACTTGCCTAAACCCTAAACCCTAAATCTAAGACGCCTAAAGTAGGCAGCAGTAGCGCGTTTTCATCGCGCAAACAAAACCCTTGTGCCTGCGGCGAGCGAAGGAAACTACGGGAGGGATCGGGGAGAAACTATACACCTTCACAGATTTACACTGCTCAAAACTCCCCTCTACCTCTTCTCTGTGAAAGGCAACGTGATTTCGTTGCAGATTGCCTCCCACCACCCGTGTGCCTTAAGAGGCTTGGTCAAGATGTCGCTGTACTGCAGGGTGGTGGGGACCCAAAAGAGCTTGGCCTTCAATCGGCCAACGTCTTGCCTAATGGCAGCAAGGTCTATCGCAAGGCGATGATCCGCTGGTACTCTAGGTATGCCTTCTTTATGGAGGCAGTCGTATAAACTACGGCAGTCCGTCATGAGTCGTAGTCGTAGTCGGGCTCCACGTCGTTGAAGGTTTCCTTTGAGCAGCGTCTCCAGGAAGAGCATGATGTACTCGGCATTCTCGATCGCCCCAGCGCATGACATCGTCTCCGCGGCGAAAGTTGATCTGCACACCCTCGCGCATGCTGCACTTTTCCAATCCAACAAGCTTGCTTTGTGACTTCCTCCATGGAGCACCTCCTCGTCCGTGAGCAAGTAGAGGCCGCCAAGTTGCGAGGATATTCTCGACGTGTTCCTCTTAGCCTTGCGTTCCCGAGTCGCAAAAGGTCCGTCTCGGATCCGTCCGAGATCTTCCTCTTCCGGCGTCAACATGTAGAAGGGATCTTCCGGATCTTGTGGTGCGTTTGACCACGCGGCGTCGTGGTACACCAAGAGGACCGCCTTCTGGAAGTCGATGGGGCGTAAGCTCACCCCACGTTGGCAATGCTCACGAGCTCGCCTTGCAAGTTGGTTGCTGAACCGCAGGTCCTCAACCAGTGGGGCCTTCTGAAGTTGCTGGGCCATGGAGACCCCAGTCTGAAGGTCTGGTCTTGTCTGGCCCGCCATCCATGATAGGGCGCCAACCCACGAGCGGTTGTCTGCGCATTGTTCTGGTGTAGCCGCATCCTCGTCCCTTTGCCCAGGTTTGATCTCGATCTCGAAGAGCCGAGTTTCCGCATAGTGTCCTTGCGTGATCGTGACCTCATTCTCCTTAACCTCGATGTAGGACCCAATGTACTCGAAGGCATCTTGCTCCCAATCCTCAACCGGAAAAACCCGCGACAACCCTTCTTTCACCTTTGCGCTGACTTCCCTTTGCCCGATAACCAGCAAGTCATCGACGTGAACGGCCACGTAGCAGAGGGGTGGTCCGAGATCTTCGTCATGGTCATCCTCGGGGTTCGTTATCTCTCGGAGCTGAAATATGCACGGGTCCAATGGACACTGAGTGAAGCGTGCCACGCGCCCATTCCCAAGCTCTACACGTAGGTCCAACATGGAGCCTCGAAGCTTGGCCCACCAAGCATGTGGACTGTCTACAAGACCAAAGACTCCTTTGGTCAGCTTCACGATTTGTTCCGGATGCAGATTTCCCAAACCAGACTTGGGCTGTTTGATATAAAGCTCCCTGCTGAGCAACTCTCCGTTGAGAAAAGCGGCAGTGATGTCGCCAGCGCTCGCCGTCCAGTTGTTCTGAAGATTGGAAGCCAGTATCTGAAGCAGCAACAGGATTCCTTGTCTTGAAACCGTCGGGGCGCTGGTGTTGAGGCCGAGATGAAGGTCGGGGTCAACGTGCCCCCCAATCACAAGGCGCGCCTTGTGCTTCCACGGGATCTCCTTGTTCCCCTTACGCTTGGCCCAATTTTTGTCACGGTAGGCAAACCGGCTAGGAAGGACTCGGTCAGGAAGCTGCTTCATGATGCGCCTGCTTTCCTCGACGCTCATCGGTTCGACTGCGTTGTGGTCCACATGTTCGCGCCACTGCTTTTGTTCTGCACTGCGGAAGGCCTCCTTCTGGTCATCGGGGATGTAGCTCCATGGAAGCTCCTTTTCGAGCTGTTTTTGCCGACCACGTTCCGTCGTTGCCCGGCGTACCATGTTCGCTTGATAGGGTGCACTTCCCTTCCCGGGGGCCTGCTTGGTCCGTAGTCGCCGAGGAACTGGGCCGTAATCGTTGTCCTCAGACAACCGGAGCACTTGGGGAGCGTCATCACCGTCAAGGAGCCCTTCCCCCTTCTCAATCTCCTCTAGGGTGATGTCTTCTTCCCCTTCCTCATCATCTTGCTGTTGTTCTCCTTCTTCAAGTGGGTGTTCGTCTTCACCGTTGAACATGTCGGGGTCGTTCTCGTCGTACTCAATCAGCTTTTCCAAATCGTCTTTTGTCGCACGGAGCACAAAGGCGCTACCGACCTCTTCGTTCGTGGCTCGCCGTATATGTTCAGGAGCGACAAGGTGGCACCTTCCCGCATGCGAAACCCAGAGACTCTGGTGCTCCTTTCCGACGACGGTTGCAGGCCCCTTCCACTGCCAGTCCTTGGAGTTCTTGGGCTTGCGATGGTAGAAGACAATGTCACCGGGGTTCAGTTCCTCAATCGCCACACGACTTCGCTGAAGGAGAGCACGGCGGCTTTGAGTCACCTTGACATCGGAAGTAAGCACAGCGAGCTGACATGCGGATCGCTTGTTCCCTTGCTCGCTGCATGTCTACCGAGAGGATATGTTCTTGTTGCCCAGCATCCCGATCATCAAGTAGTTCGCCCGGGACATAAGGGTCCTTGCCAAATACGGCCTGGGCCGGTGAGAATCCACTCTGGCGTCTCAATTCGTTCTTGGCCCCATTCACTGCCATGATGCCAAGGTAAAGGTCTTTCTCTTCCAGGCTGTTCTCGTCGCAGACTCGTTTCCACATGGCCTTCCACACTCCTCCATGGCGCTCAGTTGCTCCAAGCTGCCAATGTGCCTGCCCAGCAGCGTTGCGTAGTTTGCATCCGTGCCAGCTACCAAAACGAGCTAGACCCGCTTGTAGACCAGTTTCAAGGTCAATGGCCAAGGTGTTCGGTGCCCCAAAAGTCCTTCCCCAGATCTCGAAGAAGGTCTCCTCCATCGCCTCAGTGCTGTGTCCCCTTAGAAGCCCCACCAAGTGATAGGAGGTCCCGTGGTCGTACACCGAAAGCATGTCGTACTTCTTGCCGTGCGAGTCGACCACAGAGAAAGCGTCTACTCCGACCACCTGGTTGAAGGACAAAAGCGTAGGCAACGAGGCGGGACGTGGCGATCCTCCTCCGACACAACGGGCACACGTTTCACACCGAAGTCTCTTTGCTGCTTGAGTTACATCAGTGCCAGCGCCAGCCAATCTGAGGTGCCTCGTGAGCTCGGCAACCGAGGGATGACCCAAATTCTGGTGTAGTCGACGAAGTGCTCCAGCAACCTCTGGCTTCACTCGGGGTTCTCCCGGAAACGTGATCGCACGACTTCCTCGTAGAGGGTCCTCCGTTGTCTCTTTCTCTCGAGAACCTCCGGTCGTCATGAAGGAAGTGAGGAGGTCCTTAGCCTGTGTCTCATGCGCCTGCTGCCACTCATCACGTACACGACCATCATAGGTGCAGATCACATCATCCTTGTTGTCGGTCTCCCTCATTCGGTCGTGCTCCAAGAGGGCGACTCCAGTCTCGGACAGCCAGAAAGGACTCTCCGACGCTGCCTGTACGACGATCCTTCCACCTCCAGCGAGCTGCACCTTGATGAATTCTTCGAGAGCAACCCCATTCCGCAGGAGTGGTTCGCCATGAATCCATAGGGTCCTCGGTCTCAACTCGGTGATCAACTTGATGCCATAACTGATCATTTCCGGATCGAGGAGCTCATCGCCAAAGATGGGTTCAGCAAAGATGTAGTCGCTGTCCATCGCCTCCAAAGTTTTGTTGGTGCCCCCAAGCTCAAAAAGCGACACCTCCTGGCCACGACATCCAAGATTGGATAGGTCAAGGCCTTGTGGTAGGAGCGTAGATGCCACCATCGCCGACCAAGTCGCCAAGGCGCCAAGCTTTCGGGCCATCCGATGTAGCCCCTTTCGGATGCTCTTCTTAGGCCTGTTCTCCTCCTTCCATTCGACATCGTGGTTGTAAGGGGGCAAGCCGCTTAGCTTACCAAGGGGGAAACGCAGACTCCGAAGTCGATCACGGATCTCGAGGGTGGTGTTCGGGGCACCACGAGTAGTATAGAAAGTGAGGCACCAGCGATCACCTTCCCATTCTTCAGTCTGGTGTAGCCTTTTGGGATCAAACCGAAGGAGCTTTTCTCGGGAGGACACACACCTTCCGGGAAACCACTTTCCATGCTTGTCCTGTTTCCAAACTGTTCCACCCTCGTTCTCAGCGATGTCATCACCGTCAAGGTTCTGTAGCCAGAGTTCCCCGCCTCGGAATGGTCCGAAAGAGGTTGTCGTGTTGGGAAAGCCTCGAAGGTTGTGGTTGTCAGCGTGCATCTCGTGCTTGAGGTTCTTCGCCAAGGCGAAAGACGTCCATGTCCCTTGGTTATGGGCGCGTCCCCACATGTTGATGTACTTGCAGGTCCACGGCACCTCCTTGGTTGCCGAAGATATGTTCATCCACTTCCCGTGGGTCCACAAACCACCCACCAGTCCTGGCACGCGTCGTCCTTGTCCTCCAGCTGTGGTTCGGTGCGTGATATGGATGCGCTCAGGGAGGGACTCGGCAATCTCTTCCAACTTGGCGTAGGAGAAGTCCTTGGCGCGCATCGCCTCCTTTGCCAACCGTTCTCCGTCAGCATGAGGACACCGATCGGCCCATCCATTGTCGTCCTGT